CTATGTTGGTCTGGCTGGTCTTCGAATGATGCGCCTGCCTTAGCCTCCCAAAGTGCTGGGATTACAAGTATGAGCCACTGTGCCTGGCCTAATTTTTTATTTATTGTTTATTTATTTCCTTTTTTATCTTTTTTTGAGACAGAGTATCACTCTGTTGCCCAAGCTGGAGTGCAATGGCGTGATCTTGGCTCACTGCAACCTCTGCCTCCCAGGTTCAAGCGATTCTCCTGCCTCGGCCTCCGGAGTAGCTGGGACTACCAGGTGCATGCCACCATACCCGGCCGATTTCTGTATTTTTGATAGAGACAGGGTTTCACCATATTGACCAGGCTGGTCTCGAACTTTTGACCTTGTGATCTGCCCACCTTGGACTCTCAAAGTGCTGGAACTACAGGTGTGAGCCACCACGCCCAGCCCACAGTTCCCTTATTTTTTATTGATTTTTTTTTTTTTTTTTTTTTTTGAGACGGAGTTTCTCTCTTGTTACCCAGGCTGGAGTGCAATGGCGCAATCTCGGCTCACCGCAACCTCCGCCTCCTGGGTTCAGGCAATTCTCCTGCCTCAGCCTCCTGAGTAGCTGGGATTACAGGCACGTGCCACCATGCCCCGCTAATTTTTTGTATTTTTAGTAAAGACGGGGTTTCACCATGGTGACCAGGATGGTCTCGATCTCTTGACCTCATGTTCCACCCACCTCGGCCTCCCAAAGTGCTGGGATTACAGGCTTGAGCCACCACGCCGGGCCCAGTTCCCTCATTTTATCTGCTGCTAAGCAGCCATCATCTGATTCCATTGCAACTTTCTTTTTGTTTTTGATGGAATTTCCCTCTTGTCACCAAGGCTGGAGTGCAATGGTGCAATCTTGACTCACTGCAACCTCCATCTCCCAGGTTCAAGTGATTCTCCTGCCTCAGCCGCCCAAGTAGCTGAGATTACAGGCACCCACCACCACACCCAGCTAACTTTTATATTTTTAGTAGAGACGGGGTTTCACCATGTTGGCCGGGCTAGTCTTGAACTCCTGACCTCAGGTGATCCGCCCACTTCGACCTCCCAAAGTGCTGGCTGGGATTACAGGCCTGAGCCACTGTGCCCAACTGCACTGTGACTTCTCTGTCTGCTCTCAAGCGGTGGGTGTTTAAGTTGTCTCCAACTGCAGTCATTACAAGGCTGCCAGAGTCTGCTTGTACCTGCCACTTTGGCCCATGTGCTGGAGATGGTAAAGGTTTATAATCAGGAATTTTTTACTGAGATGGAGTCTCACCCTGTTGCCCAGTCCAGAGTGGTGCAACCTCAGCTCACTGCAACTTCCACTTCCCAGGTTCAAGCAATTCTCCTGCCTCAGCCTCCCAAGGAGCTGGGATTACAGGTGCCTACCACCAAGCCTGGCTAATTTTTGTATTTTTAGTAGAGATGGGGTTTCACCATGTTGGCCAGACGGGTCTCGAACTCCTGACCTCAGGTGATCTGCCCACTTGGGCCTCCCAAATTGCTGGGATTACAGGTGTGAACCATCAAGCACAGCCTGGAGTTGTTCAAGGTTTATACCCAGGAATGTGTTAGGTAAAGGGAGACACCCAGCTTCAGCTTCACCAGATATTGCTAGATTGGTTACACTAATAGCCCCTGTTGGTCAACTGTTCTTCGTCTATCAGCACAGGCACAAAGGTGCCTCTGCTCATGTCTCTTTCTTCCAAAGAGAAGGATTTAACTCCACCTGTTGATGGCTAGACTGTCCAATCCCTTCCCAAACCCTCCCACCCTCATCTTCTCCAACTGGGCCTCTTCTGAGCTTCCCCATTTGGGGCAGCCAGCACTTTATGAGGCCAGGCACAGTGGCTCACGCCTGTAATCCCAAGAATTGCTTGAACCAAGGAGATGGAGGCTGTAGTGAGCTGAGATCGCACCAACGCACTCCAGCCTAGGCAACAAGAGTGAAACTCTGTCTCAAGAAAATCATCACCATCATCAGAACAAGAAGGCTGCCAGTCAGAGCAGCAGTGACCCGGTGGGTCCAATGGCCACAGATCGAATCCCAGGTGTACCACTTCAGCTGTGTGCCCTTGGGCAAGTTACTTCACCTCTCTGAGCCTGTGTTTCCTCCCCTGCATAATGGGGACACTGACCTGTAACTGACAACATAGGGTTCATGACGATCACATGAAATGAGCATGGCAATGCAGTGGGTGCTCCCAGAGGAGCCACTGTGACAGGCATGCACCACTGCACCTGGCTGACCTTGAATGGAGGCACTGTTATTATGGCCCTTGAGTAGGAGATCCATCAGGGTGGTGGGAAAAATTATAATAAAGACACAAAGCTTTTTGGAAGGCTGAAGTTTTTGCAAAACCCTTGGGAGAGAATTATGGCTGAAGGCAGCCTAATCCTCTTACCTTGAGCTAATAGCAAAGAGCAGATGACAAGGGAATGTAGAGGAGTTTATCTAAATAGCTTGTTTACCTATTTCTCCAGAAACCAACCTTTGATCACACTCATGCAGAACTGCTGTCTACTGGGGGGCTGGGGTCAGCAATGTTCATTACCCAATAATGGTGTTTGCTTTAGACCTTTTCATTAAATCTGTTCTAAAATAAATACAAGCCTCTCCAACATATGGGGGCTTCACAGCCAGACTCCCTCTTCAGGATCTGTGAGCCGGGGGTCCCCTGGCCACGTTCACACAGGCAAAATATCTGTGTTTGTGTATTTCTGTCATCCGTCCCCCAGACAGAGTCTGCCAGTCAGACTCAGCACCTTGGGGTCCACAGAGAACTGCCAACAACTTTGCATCTCAGAATGACTTTGGCTGTAGTGACAGAAGCCCCAAGTCAAGCTGACTGAAGACAAACTGTCATTTATTGGCCCACGTAATGCTTCAGGTATGTCCAGGTCCAGGAGTCTTTTTTTTTTTTTTTTTTTTTGTGACAGAGTCTTGCTCTGTTGCTCAGGCTGGAATGCAGTGGTGTGCACTCCACTGCAACCTCCACCTCCTAGGTTCAAGTGATTCTCCTGCCTCAGCACACCAGGTAGCTGGGATTATGGCACCCACCACCACAACCAGCTAATTTTTGTATTTTCAGTACAGATGGGGTTTCTCCATGTTGGCCAGGCTGGTCTCAAACTCCAGACCTCAAGTGATCCATCCACCTCCAACTCCCAAAGTGCTGAGATTATAGGCAGGAGCTACCGTACCCAGATCCAGGAATTTTAATGACACGGTTAGGAAGCTGGCTCTGCCCCTCTCCAGGCCACTGTCTCCTCCATGCAGGCTTCATTCTGAGCAGGCTCTCCAAGTGGTGGCTCCAGGCCTGCATCTGTCCAGCTAATCTCTGCCCTGAGCAGATGGAACTTCTGCCCAGCACTTCCTGCCCAGATCCCAAGACTGCTCCTCACTGGCCCAGGCAAGGTCACATGCCCATACCTGAGTCAGTCGTGATGGCCAGGAAAAAGATGGTGACCTTGGCCCACGTCTGGGTCATGTGTTCAACAATCTCCAGGCCAGGTGTAGTTACTGACCTTAAATCCCAAGAAGACACTGAGTACAGTGGCTCACGCCTGTAATCCCAGCACTTTGGGAGGCCAAAGCAGGAAGATCACTTGAACTCAGGAGTTCAAGACCAGCCTGGGCAACACGGTGAGACCCCCAATCTCTAAAACAAAATAAAACATTAGCGGGGAGTGGTGGCATGAGTCTGTAGTCAGCTACTCAGAAAGCTGAGCTAAAAGGGTCACTTGAGCCCAAGAGTTCAAGGCTGAACTGAGCCATGATTGCACTATTGCATTCCAGCCTGGGCGACAGAGTGAGAACTCGTTTCCAAAAAAGAAAAAACAGGCTGGGTGTGGTGGCTCACACCTGTCATCCCAGCAATTTGGGAGGCTGAGGCAGGCAGATTACCTGAGGGCAGGAGTTTGAGACCAGCCTGGCCAACACGGTGAAACCCATCTCTACTAAAAATACAAAAATTAGCCGGTGTGGTAATGGGCACCTGTAATTCCAGCTACTCGGGAGGCTGAGGCAGGATTCACTTGAACCCAAGAGGCAGAGCTTGCAGTGCGCTGAGATTGCACCACCTCCAGCTTGGGTGACAGAGAGAAACTGTTAAAAAAAAAGAAAAAGAAAAAACAAACGCACAATCTCTAAAACTGCATGGAATGAAATTGGAAAAGGAGTGAATCACAGAGGAAAGCCAAGGTGAAATTCCCAAAATAAGGGGAAGTGAAGGCCGGGCACGGTGGTTCACACCTGTAATCCCAGCACTTTCGGAGGCCAAGGTGGGTGGATCACAAGGTCAGGAGTCCAAGACCAGCCTGGCCAAGACAGTGAAACCCCATCTGTACTAAATATATAAAAATTAGCCAGGCGTAGTAGCAGGTGCCTGTAATCCCAGCTACTCAGGAAGCTGAGCCAGAGAATTGCTTGAATCTGGGAGGCAGAGGTTGCAGTGAGCTGAGATCACACCACTGCACTCCAGCCTGGGCGACAGAGCAAGACTCTGTCTCAAAAAAAAAGGCCAGGCATGGTGGCTCATGCCTGTAATCCCAGCATTCTGGAGTTGGAGGCAGGCAGATCACAAGGTCAAGAGATCGAGACCACCCTGGCCAACATGGTGAAACCCCATCTCTCTGCTAAAAATGCAAAAATTAGCTGGGTGTGGTGGCACGTGCCTTAGTCCCAGCTGCTCGGGAGGCTGAGGCAGGAGAATCCCTTGAACCTGGGAGGTGGAGGCTGCAGTGAGTTGTGATAACGCCACTGCACTCCAGGTGGGGGGCAGCGGATAGATCCCAGCCTAGTAAAAGCAATAGATGCGCCCCCCATACTCTTGCTTCCCAAGAGGGGTTCATGGAACAGCAGCATCGGAATCACACAGGAGCGGCTCAGAAATGCAAAGTCTCAGGCCCATCCCAGGCTACTGAGTCAGAACCCGCCCTGCAGCAGTGAGTCACCCACACATCAGTCTCAAAAATGCTGTGCTGCGTAGTAACTTTTTCAGTTGCTTAGACAATTTTTTAAGTTCTGTTTTATTGAGAACCACAAAAGGTAAGAACTAAGAGAGTCCTCCCAGGTCATCGGGTCCAGTCCCTTGGCCTAAGGACAGTGAAACCACTGTCACAGCCAGCAGCTGCCATGTCCTGGGACTGTCTCATGGGGTGATGCGTCCTGAGCCCCAGCAGCGCCAGCCCAGGTCAGAAGGCCTCATTCAGAAGGCAGGTGTCCCAGCCACTGTCTGCTGTCACTCACAGCCCCTGGCTGAGCCCCCGTGGAGGATGGAGACCCACAGACACACACACACACAGATATCTCCAAATCTCTGACTCAGACTCGCACACGTGCACACACACAGACGCACACACAACAAAGACACATACAGGCCTTTATTCTATTACACAGAGTACGGCTGGGGCCAGGGCAGGTCACTCTCAGGCTGTGTCAGAAGATGCAGCGCGTTCAGGGGTCACAGGCCAAACCCCAAGTGATAATAAGTTACAGGAGGGATTCTCGGGCTGTTGTCAGGCTGGAGCCAGAGCAGGATGCCAAGTGAGGACCCCAGAGCCACTTCCAGCTGCCCAGCTCAGCCCTCCCAGGCAAGCCTGGTTCCAGGACAGACTCGGCTTCCACTGAAAAACAGAGCAGGGCAGGGTCAGCAGGCGCCTGCAGGCAGAGGGATAAGCTGGAGGTAACAGGCAGGAATTAGGCAGGGGGTCCTGGAGGGAGGGAGCAGAGCCTGAGGGCCCAGGCCAGGGTGGGGACTGGACAGGCTTCTCACCAGACCCTCAGTTCAGCTCCTGCAGATTCTCGTAATCTGGAGCCCCCTCTTCCTCCACTTCCTCCGCCTCCTGGGAACTCAGGGTGGCTGTGGGGGAGGGGAGGTTGGTTTCCAGCTTGCAAGCCAGCCCCACAAGCTCAAGGCAGCTACCCCAGCTCCAGCCCCTCCCACAGCACCAACCGGCCTCCATCTTAGCCACTCCGGGATGCAGCTCCTGGGACACGTTCACATACTCCCGGCTGCCATCTGTGGGGACAGATCAGAAGGAGGGGTGGTCATGCAAAGGGGTCAGGAGGGAGAGAGAGCCCCCAGACAGAGGGGGCAGAGGGTGTGGGTAACCCTAGGATGGGGTCTGGTGACACTGAGAGGGTGGTAGGGCGGCGGGGTACATGGGCAGTCACCAGGGTGCACCAGTCACTCACCCAGAGAGGCTTCTGCGCTCTCCCCGCTCTCCGGAACATTCACGTAATCATCAACGGACTCCACTGTGGGAAAGCCAGCCCCACCCCAGCACTATGACCAGAGACCCTCGGCCACGGGTTCCCAGAGAACCCCCAACCTCAGGCACGCAGAGCTCCCCAACAGCAGACACCAGAGGCTCCCCACACAGCTACCCCCATTAGCCCCACAGAATGGAGAGAGGGCACTCCAGGCTGGCAAGGATGGTGATGATGATGGTGATGGTGGCCTGGACAAGGGTGAGAGCCATAGAGAGGGAGAGAGGAGGTCCACGTGACCAGGACTGAGGCGCGCTCAGGGAGGGTCAGGCCCCAGCACAGCCTCTAGGCTGGGGAGCAGGGATGGAGTGCGGCTCGAAGCAGTGGGAGTTTGATGGCGTGTGTGGAGGGGACATGGCACCCTCGGCCAAGCGGGTGCCTCCTCCTCTCAAGGGGCTGACATGGGGTGGGACACGGGCCCACCCCCTGCCAGCCACTGCCCGTGTCCCACCCCATGTCAGCCCCTTGTGGCGCCTGTCACCATCCACGTTATTTGGGGGGTTTTATTTTTTTTGAGACAGGGTCTCACTGTCGCCCAGGCTGGAGTTTAGTGGCACGATCTCGGCTCACTGCAACCTCTGCCGCCAGGTTCAAGTAATTCTCCCACCTCAGCCTCCTGAGTTGCTGGGATTACCGGTGCCCACCACCACATTCTGCTAATTTTTGTATTTTTAGTAGAGACAGGGTTTTGCCATGTTAGCCAGGCTGGTCTTGAACTCCTGACCTCAGGTGATCCACCTGCCTTGGCCTCCCCAACTGCTGGGATTACAGACATAAGCCACCATACCCAGCCTATTTGTTTTTTTTGTTTGTTTTGTTTGCTTTTGTTTTTAGACAGAGTCTTGCTGTGTCGTCGAGGCTAGAATGCAGTGGAATGATCTTGGCTCACTACAACCTCCACCTCCTGGGTTCAAGTGATTCTCCTGCCTCAGCTTCTCAAGTAGCTGGGATTACAGGTGCGCACCACCATGCCCAGCTCAAGTTTGCATTTTTAGTAGAGACGGGGTTTCACCATGTTGGCCAGACTGGTTTCAAACTCTTGACCTCAGATGATCCGCCCTCCTTGGCCTCCTCAAGTGCTGGGATTACAGGTGTGAGCCACCGCACCTGGCCTGTTTGGTTCTTTTACGTGTTTCTTGTTTCTCCATGCAAACGTGGACAAGGCGGGCTTCAGAAACAGACTGCCCTGGTTCAATCCCAGCTCCAGCACTAAACAACCACGTAACCTCAGCCCGGGGACCTCACCTCTCTGTGCCTCAGTTTTCTCTGTAAAATAGGGCCTGTCACACAGCAGTGCTGATAAACAGATAAACTCTGTGTCACACAAAGGGGACAGCTGGAGCACAGGAGGGCAAGGGCAGGAAGGTAGCCCCAGGGTGGTGAGGTGAGTGAACACGTCAGACTCTCAGCAAGGCATGCAGAAGGCCCTCAGTGAATGTTAGCTTTCTTTCTTTCTTCCTTTTCCTTTCTTTCTTCCTTTCTCTCTTTCTCTTTCTTCCTTTCTTTTCTCTCTCTCTCTCTTTCTTCCTTTCTTTTCTCTATCTCTCTCTTTCTCTTTCTTTCTTTCTTTCGATGGAGTCTTGCTCTGTCGCCAGGCTGCAGCGCAATGGCGTGATCGCCCCTCACCGCAACTTCTACCTCCTGGGTTCAAGTGATTCTCCTGACTTAGCCTCCAGAGTAGCTGGGATTACACGTGCACGCCACCATCCCTAGCTAATTTTTTGTATTTTTGTAGAGAGTAGGTTTCACCATATTGGCCAAACTGGTCTCAAACTCCTGACCTTGTGATCCACCTGCCTCAGCCTCCCAAAGTGTTGGGATTACAGGCATAAGCCACCACACCCAGCCTCTTTCTTTTGTTTTGTTTGTTTTTTTTTTTAAAAAAACAAGGTCTCACTCTGTTGCCCAGGCTGGAGCGCAGTGGCACAATCTCAGCTCACTGCAACTTCTGCCTTCTGGGCTCAGGTGATCCGCACACCTCAGCCTCCTGAACAGCTGGGACTACAGGCATGTGCCACCAGGCTTGGCTAATTTTTTTTATTTTTTGTGGAGATAAGGCTTTGCCATATTGCTCAGGCTACTCTTGAATTCCTGGACTCAAGCAATCCTCCCTCCTCGGCCTCCCAAAGTGCTGGGATTACAGGAGTGAGCCACCACACCCAGCCAGCTATTTTATCAGAACAGTCTGCCCCCTGAACTGTTACATTCATAGCATTAGCCCAGTAGAGGGCACCGCAGTAAACTCTGAAGGAATGAATGAATAAATGAATGAATGAATGAAGTACTTGGAGAGTCTGGAGTTCAGAAGAGAGCAAACTAGGAATCTGGATGGCAAACAAGGCCAGGGTGTAGAATTGATAGCCCAGGACAAGTATATACAGAGAGAGCAAAGCAACAGAAAACTAAAGAACGCTGGACATTGAGGAAAGCCCAGAGGATATGACCAGGCAGGATGAGACCAGAAGGAAGGAAGAAAAACAGCTCAAAGGAAACCGGGCAGTGCAGGGAGCAGAAGAAAACACACACACACACACACACACACACACACACATACACACACACACACACACACACACACCAGCTTCTAATTAATATCCTTAGAGATGTATAAGATGGTATTGCCTCCATGAAACAAGAACAGGAGGCTATAAAAAAAGAACAGTCAGAAAACAAGAAAGAGTTTCTGGACAGGATAAATGAAATTGCAGTGGAAGGGTTGAAGAATAAAGTCAAGGAAATCTCCCAGATGATATAAGGAAAGGACAGTAAGGTAGGAAAGAGGAGAGAGAAAGTTAAGAAAATCAGAAGAACAGGCCTGGACACGGTGGCTCATGCCTGTAATCCCAGCACTTTGGGAGGCTGAGATGGGAGGATCACTTGAGCCCAGGAGTTCAAGGCCAGCCTGAGCAACATACCGAGACCCTGTCTCTACAAAAAATTGTTTTAAATAAGCTAGGTGTGGTGGTATGCGCCTGTGGTCTCAGCCACTTGGGAGGCTGAGGCTGACCGAGTAGCCTACTTGGGAGAATCACTGGAGCCCAGAAGTTCGAGGCTGCAGCAAACTACGATGGCATCACTGCACTCCAGCCTGTCCCTAAAATAATTAAAAAATAAAAACAAATGCCCGACTCACTGGAGAAGGCGCTGTCTCGAAGGCCAGAAGTGCTGAGCGCAGGAGCTGGTGGGGCGGCAGTGCTAGCAGCCGGGGCACTGTCGGGAAGCACCACCCTGAAAGGAAGTGAAACGGGCTGGTGAGCTCAGGCCCAGCCTGAGCCCCCACCTCCCACCTCCCACCTGGCCACTCACAGGTAGCCCGGGTTGTGATAGTCATCCTCATCCTCATCCTCATCCGCATCCTCACAGGCTGGTTCTGGGGGTAACAACACAGGGGTCAGCCTAGCCCAGGACAGGCCCCAGCCTCCCCCCACAGCCCGGGCACCTCGGATCCCAGACGCACCCTCGTTCTCATAGCTCGGCACGCTGTTGGCTTCAGAGACAGGGAGAGAGGGAGACTGAGTCAGCTCAGGCCAGGACGATCTTCTTCCCGGCCCCAGCCTCCTCGGCCCTTCCCCACACTTACCACCATCTGAGTCCCGCCGGGAAGATGGCATCCGGTGGGAGCCCCCGGGGGGCTGTGGGGATCTTCTGGGAGTCAAAGGTCAGGGGTCATGGCTGAGGTGGGGCTCAGGGGGCAATGGCAGTTGCAAAAGGGAAAGGGGCTACCAATCCAAGAAAGTGAGGGGGTGGAGGGGCGTTTGGAGGGGTAGGGGAGCAGCTACTCACGGGATGGGAAGCAGGTCTGGCTGGCTCAGGGGTGGGTAGGAGGTGACAGGTGGGTAGGTGGGCGGCCTGGGGGCGAGTGTGTCTGAGGACACAGAACCAAGTTGAAAGAAGGACTCCAGACATCGTCAAGGCCTCAAAGAACAGACTAAGCTCCTGAAACCGGTGCACCTTGGACAGGCCTGGGGGTGCCATCTCCCCTCTCCCAGCTCAGGTCAAGGCCATGTGGGCAGCCCCAGGGTGGCAGGGGCTGAGGGAAGGTTCACACACACTCCTACACCAGGGGACCCTCTCCCCGACACTGGAGGTAGGGGACCCTCAATGTACTCACAAGGTCGTTTGATCTGGATGCCCCTTGGATACAAACTGGTAAAAAAGACACAGCTTGGGGCTGGGGCTGGGAGAGGCCCCAGTCCTGCCCCACCGTGGGGAGTGGAGGGAGACCCAGGGCAGCCAGGGCAGACTCACCTATCTGAGGAGGTGCTGTCATAGGAGCCTGGGAAAGAGAGGGCTGCTAAGGCAGGAACACGGGGTGCTGAGGGCAGAAGGTGTGGGGAGTCCAGGGGCTCTCAGAGACACTGGGATTGGAACGGAGGCAGGGCCAGAGCCAGGACAGACGCAGGGGCTGGGAGTGGTGAGGATACCGTCACTGTGCCCAGGCCCCAGGCACCCCACCATTCCCACTCACCTGGCAGCCTGTGACAGTGGACACACAGCGCCATCAAAACGGCCAGGATGGGCAGCAGCAGGAGGCCCAGCACGCAGGGGACCAGGATGGTCTCCTCCATCTGCAGGGGAGCTCGGAGCAGGCCGGCTTACCCCACAGGCCCCTCAAGGGCAGAGCCAAGGCCAGGCAAGGACAGGGTGAGGACCAGGTGAGGACTGGGTGAAGATCGGACCAAGCAGGGGGCAGGTAGGCAGCAGGTGGCGTGGGAGCCCAGGAGGAGGCGGCAGTTCCCTCCCCGGGGCTCCCTGGATGGGTCCCCTCTTTTTCTGGGCTGAGTGGGCGTCCAGCTGGCTGTGGGAAGTCTCTGCTCCCCGGGTGGTCAGACCAGGGCCCAGACTGAAGTTGGGGGACCCAGCCACCCGTGTCCCAGCCCTACCCGCCCCTCCTCAGCGCCCGCCTCTCCCTGTGCCTGCCCACCCGCCTGCCTGCGGCAGGAAGCTGTGGTGAGCACCAGGCGAGGGCAGGAAATCATCGAGCTCTCAGTCGGCTGTACCCGCCCCCTTCCCACTCCACCCTGCCACTGGGGAGGGGGCAGGAGGAGGCCCGGGAGCCACCCCAGGCTCTCACCAGGGGTCTTTGGGCCCCCAGGAATGGGACAGCCACCTGCTGGCTGGCAGCCACGGCCTCCACATCCAGGGCCTGGGGAGGCAGCAAGCGGGGAGGCCCTGACAGCAGGAATTCTGGGGTGCAGAAGGCAGTGCCCACCCCCACCTCAGCCAGTCCTGAGAGGCAAGGGGCAGGCTCCGGGGAAGCAGGGGCGTGACTCACAGTCACACCAAGCCAGCTCACACAGAGGACAGCAGTCTCCGCTCTCAGTCACCCAGACCAGAAGGGCAGAGACTCACTCAGAGCCCCAAGGGGTGACCCACAGTCTTCAGGAGCCCTGGGGTGAAGACGGGACGCAAGATCAGAGGTCACCCAGAGAAAGACAAGAGCAGGCACCTGGGGTCTGGCTACAAATTTTATTCCATAACAAATAGCACCGAGCCCCTGGGGCTGCCCCTGTGGAGGGGGATCCCCTTCCTGTACCCCCACCTCCTCCCCTGAGCTGCCCATGTAGTGTCTGGGAGCTGGGATACGGCCCAGGGTCCCTCTGGAAGCTGGGTCAGGCCAAGGGGTTAGGCCCAGGCCCCTTGTGGGGTGGACCCAGGGCCAGCTGCGGCAGATGTGCAGGCAGGCAAGCGGCGGCCTCTCAGATGAGCACGCTGGCCACAGGCACCCGGGTGGAGCGGCCCCGCTGGGGCACCACGATCCGGTCATCTGTGGGCCCTGCCTCGCGCAGCAAGCCTGCAGAGGGAGGGTCAGAGCCAGGGTGAACCGGATGGACAGACAAAGCCAAAGAAGGGCAAACAGGCAGCGGGAAATGGATGGGGCAGTCACAGAGCTGCCCAAGGGGTAGACGCAGACACGAGGAGAAAACTGTGGACTGAGCCACCAGGTGCACAGAAGTGGGCAGACAGATGGACGGACAGACAGGCAGATCAAGAAGCTGGGCAGAGGACAGCCCCTAACTGACCCTGCATGTGCAGCTGCGCCCGCCGGCGGTCGCCCTCAATGAAGATGGCGGTGCCCAGGAAGGCCGCGCCGCCCAGCGCCCCGACAAACGCACAGAGCATGAGCGAGAACTGCAGAGCCCGGAACTCGGACAAGAAGGAGGGGGGCCAGCTCCGGCGTAGGCGGTCAGAGATCTGCGGAGAGAGGAGACAGGAGAGCCAGGGAAGTCAGAGAGCCTTGCGGAAGAGCCGGGAGGGTATGTCCTGAGATCCAGGAAGAAAGACAAGTGGAGCCCAGCAAAGGAAAGGAGGTTTCAGCCAGGCGCGGTGGCTCATGTCTATCATCCCAGCTACTTGGGAGGCTGAGGTGGGAGGATCGCTTGAGCCCAGGAGGTTGAGGTTGCAGTGAGCTGTGTTCGTGCTACTACACCGCAGCCTGGGCAACAGGCTGAGATCCTGTCTCAGGAGGGAGAGGGAGGATGGAGGGCAGGGGAAGGGGGGCGGGGGGGAAGGGGAGGGGAGAGGGAGAGGAGGGGGGTGGTTTAGACCACCAGGGTGAGGTCTCTAGCAGCAGAGTAAGATCCTGTCTCAGGAAGAAAAGAAAAAAAGGAAAAGGGAAAGAGAAAGGAAAGGAAAGGAAAGGAAAGGAAAAGAGGGGTTTGGACCACCAATTTGAGGTTCCTGGCCTTACTGGTAGAAATAAAGACATCATCTTTCCCGCCCAGTTGGCAATGGAAGGGGAGAAGCGCCCGGCACACAGGACGTAAACACTCCACTAGGGCCAGGCCCCTGGCCAGGGCTGGAAATGTCAGTTCTCCCACTCCCCGCCCCATGCCAGCTGAGGAACAATGCTCACCAGGCCGATGAGGTAGGGGCTCCCAGCATCGCCCAGCAGGTGGGACAGCACGATCTGGAAGGCCTCAGCGGTGGAGCGTCGAGTGGGGATCACCACGTACTATGGAAGAATTGGTGGAGCTCAGTGGGTGCTCTGAGCTCCAGGGAGCAGGAGGTAGGGGGCCAGGAGAACGCCGAGGGTCCACCTAGGCCAGGGTCAAAGGTGTGCCTGGGATTGAGGTCACAGGGCAGGCCGGGGGTTCACTACAGATATTATTTATTGTAGAAGGTAAGCTGGGGCTGGGCTTGGAGGGGGAAAGGTAACACTCCTGCCTCCAACCTTCCTCTCATCAGCCTCTAGGCTGACCCTGGAGGTAACCAGCAACTCACCAGCAGAATGTCAGCCACGATGGCCCAGTTCATGGACAGGAGGGTCTCTCCAATGAAGATGAAAATCTGGGGAATGAGAGAGGGGTGGAGGGTTCGTGACAGTAAGGGCAAACACATGGAGGGTTGACCATGTCCCCAGCTCATCTATTAACTCGTTTCATCCTTACCACAACCCAATAAGACAGGTGCTACTAATATTCCCATTTCACACATGATGAAACTGAGCACAGAGAGGTTAAGCCACTTGCCCAATGTCACACAGCTGAGAAGAACCAGAGCTGTGATTGAAAACCAGGCATTCCATCTCAAGTGGCCACTATGCTGACTGCTTCTCCACCCTGGACCCATGCCACCCCCCATGACATCTGCTGGCTACTCACATAGGTGGCCACAATGCTACCACGGGCACAGGCAAGGGACAGGAAGAGGAAGGGTGCAGAGCCCAGGAGGCCAGCAGCACACACCAGGGGGTCAGCCCGGGGATTGGAGCGGCGGAGCTGGCGGCTGATCTCCACACCCAGGCCCACACCCAGGACTCCGGTCAGGCAGGTGATGAACCCGAAGATGAGACTGAGGGTGAGGAAGGGGGAGAGGGGTCTGTCCATCCCAGCCGCCCTCACAACCAAGGTCCCCCCAGACACACCACCGCATGGTTCAGGCAGCCCCGAGCGGCAGACAACATCCATCACTTATTTCCCAGACCAGCAAACAGAGATTCCAGGAGAGCAGGCAGATTATGAAGTCAGGAGTCAAACTCCCTGCCTGGGTCTGAGCCACGGAGGCTCTTCACTCCAGCCCTGCCACCCACAGGCCGCCCCCCAGCCTAGCCCCATCTAGGCACCTGTCAGAGGAAGAGCAGGAGTCTCCAGGAAGGCAAGGCGGGGTCTCCCCAAGGACCACGCGGGAACGCAGCAGGAACGCAGGAGCCCACAGAGCCAGGGAGCCCGTGACAAAGGCCACAGCAGTGAAGCCCAGGGAAGACAGGATGAAACTAGGACTGCAGGGAGTTGGGAGGGAGAGAGTCACACCCCACAGAGGTGTCAAAGTAGGAGGGGTCCTCTCTTCTCCCTTCCTGGTTTATTTTAGTAAGCTCACACCACCAGCTGCAGAGGCAGTTCTGGCTCCCAGGATCTGGGCCTGTAATTCAAGCAGCTGCCACAAGGGGACAGTAGCGACTGAATTCCCGGCCTTGGGGTGTGGCCAGGAACAGGAACACCGCCCACTTAAACCTCAAACCAGAGGTCAAGGCCTCCCTGGGGCCTCAGACGGTGGTCTAGGGTGGGAATAAACTCACTTTCTTGCCAGAGCCCTCAGATCTGCCCACCATGAGGTGGGGTTCAGGGGTGGCGAATCTGAGTGGCGCTCCACGGCTCCCCTTGGCGGCTCCCGCACTATCAGGAACAGCAGCAGAACGGCCACCACTCCTAGCCCCGGTGTCACCTGGGGAGAGAGAGGATTTCACGACAGGCACAGGCAGAGATACACTCAAGCCCTGGGCTGGGGGAGAGTGTGGGGTCCAGATAACTCCAGCCTGAGACCTAAAACACCCAGTTAAAGTTAAACTGTCGTGAAGGCAAACCTGCAATTTGGAGGAAAGGGGTTGCCACTAGGGAACACCCCATTTTTGCAAGCCCAGCTTTGCTTCCTCTTTGTAATTTTCTTTTGGGAAACCAGTACCCCTACTTCTCTCAATCCTCTTGGTTTAAATAGGATCCCAGACTTGGCCGACAAGAGGACTGTTAGCCACCCCAGCCTCGGTGACAGATTCCACAGTGGCCACATGACACAGGTTCCTCTAGTCAGACACCATCCTGGAAACATGGCCCCAGGGTCCAAGGTACCAATATTGCTAAAAGGGAAGGAATGATCTGGAGCTCTCATGTGCTTTGGAATGATGTTAACGTGGAGGAAAGTGAAGCTCAGAAGAGAAGCAGAGTGTGGAAGCCCTGGATCCAACTTTACCTGACTGAAGCCACCCTGGGACTTTCAGGAAGAAAGCCAAGACAACCCCTTTAGGGGGCTTGCAGTTTTACAATGGGCTTCCAGCACCTGCATGGAAGAGTTCTGTCTAGCACATGGATTCCAGGTGAGGACAGCCAGCTTCCTGCAGACTCAGCAGACAGAGCACTGCCTCAAAAAAGGGGTGTTGGCCGGACGCAGTGGCTCACGCCTGTAATCCTAGCACTTTGGGAGGCAGAGGCGGGTGGATCACGAGGTCAAGAGATCGAGACCATCCTGGCCAGCATGTGAAACCCCGTCTCTACTAAAAAATACAAAAATTAGCTGGGCATGGTGGCGCGCACCTGTAGTCCCAGCTATCGGGAGGCTGAGGCAGGAGAATTGCTTGAACCCGGAAGGCGGAGATTGCAGTGAGCCGAGATTGCGCCACTGCACTCCAGCCTGGCGCCTGGTGACAAAGCAAGACTCTGTCTCAAAAAAAAAGGGGGGGGGGAGTATTTGGAGCCAGGTGCACAGCTCATACCTGTAAGCCCAGAACTTTAGGAGGCCAAGGCAAAAGGACTGCTTGAGGTCAGGAGTTCAAGACCAGCCTGGGCAACGTACAAAGACCCTGTCTTTTTAAGACGTTGTTTTTACTCTTGTTGCCCAGGCTGGAGTGCAATGGCACTATCTCAGCTCACTGCAACCTCCACCTCCCAGGTTCAAGCGATTCTCCTACCTCAGCCTCCCAAGTAGATGGGATTACAGGCATTCGCCACCATGCCCAGCTAATTTTGTATTTTTAGTAGAGACAGGGTTTCACCATGTTGGCCAGGCTGGTCTTGAACTCCTGACCTCAATTGATCGACCTGCCTCAGCCTCCCAAAGTGCTGGGATTACAGGTGTGAGCCACCACACCAAACCTACAAAAAAAAAAAAACCTTTTTTTAATTAGCCAGGCATGGTGGCAGGCACCTACAGTCACAGCTACTTGAGAAGCTGAGGTGGAAAGATCGTTTGAGCCCAGGAGTTCAAGACTGCAGTGAGCTATGATTGCACCACTGCACTGCAGCCTGGGTGAGACCCTGTCTCCTAAAAGAAAAATGGGTGGTGGGAAGGTGTATGAAGGTAGGAAACAGGGATCAGTGAGAATGTCGCTGACCTACCCCAGGCCAAGACCAGACTCACCCTCAGGGCCCAGTGCCAGTCCCCAGCCACATCCTTCACTTTGGAGCCTGCAATGTAGCCCAGACCACTGAAGGAGGGAGAGAGGGGAAAAAGAAGGGACAGCCAGTCAGTCAGGTCCCGCAGGCCAGGCCCTTCTGCCTCCCTTGGGCCCCAGGCCCCAGGCCCGCTCACCTGCCCACCGGAATGGCAAAGTAGAACACACTGAGCATCCGGCTCCGCTGGTCAGCCACGAAGAGGTCGGCAATGAGGGTGGGTGCAATAGTGGAATAACTGGCCTCCCCGACCCCCACCAGGCCCCGGGTCAGGAGGAGCAGCCAAAAACGCTGCGGAGAGAGACCGAGGAGAAGTGGCACCCCAGCCTGCAGCCAGCCTCCGGGACACCGCACAAGCCGGCTAACGGGAGGCAGCAGGGACGGCGGGAGACGCCTGGGTTTGAGAATCAGACAGACCTGAGCTTGCATCCTGGCTCCACCACTTACTAGCTGCCACTTGGGGAAAATAACTTAACCTCTCTGAGCCTCAGTTTCCTCATCTGCAAAAGGAGGGTAACAACGACTTTTCACAGAGCTATTGCAAGGACTGGATAATAAAAGGTTTAAATAAGACAACCCCTGCTTGCCTGATATGGGAAATTTAAAAAAATTTTTTTTAAATCAATAATGACCTTAGGCTTAGTAGTGGCTCATGCCTGTAATCCCAGCATTTTAGGAGGCCGAGGTGGGCAGATCACAAGGTCAGGAGATCGAGACCATCCTGGCCAACGCAGTGAAACCCCACCTCTACTAAAAACGCAAAAATTAGCTGGGCATGGTGGCGGATGCCTGTAATCCCAGCTATTTGGGAGGCTGGGGCAAGAGAATCGCTTGAACCCAGGGGGCGGAGGTTGCATGCAGTCAGCCAAGATTGCACCACTGCACTCCAGCCTGGTGACAGAGCGAGACTCCGTCTCAAATAATAATAAAAATAACAATAATGACCTTAGATGGGAGTTTATGTGTCTACCAAAGACACCTGAAGCTAAGGACAGGTACTATTGCCCAAGGGAAGTATGCAGGTCCTGGGGCTGAGGACAGAGTTCTGGGGCAGCGTGAGAACAGAGAGGAGGCTTCAGAGGAGCAAAGAAGCAACAGCCAGGGAGGCAGGAGGAAAACCAGAAGAGGATGGCATCACAAAGGCAGGTTCAGGAAGGAAGAGTGGGTCAACAGTGCCAGAGGCTCCTGGAAGACCTAGTGCAAATGTGACTCGGAAGTAGGAGCTGTGTTTAGCAACCAGGAGGCTACTGTTGACTTTGGCAAGAGCAGGGTCCATGGAGTGGTGGGAGCAGAAGTCAGCAGCAGTACTCGAGGGGTGAGCGGGAGTGCGGAAGTGCAGGCAGATGACGGCATCTCCCCAGCCGCTCTTTCACCCACACTGGCGCCGTGCTCTTGGGGCCTCTCAGGAAGTCTGATCAGGAAGGAGAGGAGGGAGACAGGGCAGGCCAGGTAGGGTTTGGAGTGTTTAGGTATGGAGTAGGAGGAGCCAGGGGCCAGAGGAAGAACGGATAATGGACAGAGAACTCTCTGGAAGAAAAGGGGAGAGGATTGGGTGGGCCAAGTTAACTCAGGCCAGGAGGGGTACAAAATGGCACGGACCAGGGAAACTGCAGGAGTCCCTGGGGTCCAGTCTGCCATGGCTCCAAGGAACACCAGCAGAGACTGACAGGGAGTGGGTGTGGGCAGAAGCAGGAGCCAGCTCGGGGCCTCACCTCTCTGGGGATGAAGGATGACCCCAGTGTCACCAGGGACCAGAAGGCAATGCCCCCGCACATGAGATACTTCCGATTGTACCTGTCACCCAGGTAGCCAAACACAGGTGCCAACACCATGTAACTGGAGATGAACACTAGGGGGAAGCAGAGAGTCACAGCCCAGCCCAGGTACCCCTACCTCCCACTCCCACCCCAGCTGGAACCACTAAAGCACAAGAGATGCCCACCTTCTCCTCACGGAATTCACAACACCCCCACATCCCTGCCTGAAGCCCATCAGAGCTTCCTGCCAGACTATGGTCCAGCCACATCTTGAATACCTTTCCAAGTTTCCCATTGTACAATGGAGGGTCCTACTACTTGTCAGTTCCTCCCCCCTAGCCAAGACAAGCTCCAAACTCCATACATACCATGGCTCACAATGCCCCCATCTGACCTAGCCCCTGCCTACCTCTCCAAACTCACGGCCAGCCTTTTTCCTTTCTTCTCTCTGCATCCCAGTGGCCCAATTGTCAAGGTCAATACCATTAGGGGTTTGGGTACCTGCTGCCTCCTCTATATGGGACAGTCTCTCCTCTCCCCTGAAACCCAGCTCAGATACTTGCCCAGGGTCAAGCCTGCCCAGGCGAGCACACATCCAGTCCCTGACTCTCACATTTCCTGGTTTCTCTTACATAACACTTATCCCTATGGGAAAACGGTCCCATTTTAGTTTAGGGTTTTACTGACTGTTGCTCCCTCATGTATAGCATAGTATCAGCTCCCAAGGCAAGACCCTTGCCTGTGTTGGCCATGACTGTGTTTCTTCACTCACTTAACACACAGCCTAGTGCAAAATAGGTGCTCAGTAAGCACGTGCTGAATAATGAAGTGGATAAATGTGGCTGTCTAGAAAGAGCTGCTGCTCCAGGCCAGGCACGGTGGCTCACACCTGTAATTCCACCACTTTGGGAGGTTGACGTGGGAGGATCACCTGACGTCAGGAGTTCAAGACCAGCCTGACCAAAATGGCGAAACCCCATCTCTACTAAAAATACAAAAATTAGCCAGGCATAGTGGCACACACCTGTAATCCCAGCTACTCAGGAGGCCTTAGCCTCCTGAGGGAGGATCACTTGAACTCAGAAGGCAGAGGTTGCAGTAAGCTGAGATTGCGCCACGGTACTCCAGCCTGGCAACAGAGCGAGACTCCGTCTCAAAAAAATAAAGAGCTGCTGCTGTAACTCAACAGCTCATCAGAGGTTTGCAGACCTTGCCCTATGATCCCATTCTCATTGCTCCAGCCTTCACCTCAAATACCTCCAGTTCCTCATTGGTCTGGATTAAAGAAAAGAGCACTGCAAGACCTGGTTTCAAATTCCTGTTCTGCCTCCAACTGGTGGTGTGACCCTGGGCAAGTCTTAACTCTTCTCCAAGCCTCAGTTTCTTTATAAGCTGTAGATATCACTGCCTACTTCCTCTCTAAAATAGGAACAATAACACCTATTTTTGACTGATGGAAGGATTAGAAGACAACGGGCATAAATGGTCTTAGCAAAGTCCTACAGGTAATCATCACTTCCTCCACGCCGGACACACAGTGAGTACTCAGAAATGGTTGAGAAATTAATGAAGAAGGGAAGGAAGAAAAAAAGGGCTTGGCTCAAGCTTTGCCTCTCCCACCAGCCCCAATGTTGTGAACAAGTAAAATGCACCTTTCCCCATTCCAGACACCCTCTCCTGCCGTTATTCTGATTCTTATTCTTACTTTGAGATGGAGTCTCATTCTGTCACCCAGGCTGCAGTGGAGTAGTGCGATCTCAGCTCACTGTAACCTCTGCCTACCAGGTTCAAGTAATTCTCAGCCTCCCAAGTAGCTGGGATTAGAAGCGTCCACCACCATGCCTGGCTAATTTTTGTATTTTTAGTAGAGATGGGGTTTTGCCATGTTGACCAGACTGGTCTTGAACTCTTAACCTCAGGTGATCCACCCACCTCAGCCTCCCAAAATGCTGGATTACAGGTGTGAGACACCGCGCCCGGCCCTCCTGCCGTTATTTACTGGGTGTCTACCATGTGCCAAACATTGCACTAAGCCCTTCACAGACAATCTTTCAGTTAATCTTCACATCAGTCCTAAGAGATGATTCGTGTTATTACTCGTTCCATATTATAGACAAGGAAAATGAGGCTTAGAGAAGTTGAGTGCCTTGCCTACCACCACACAATAAGTGGAAGAGCTGAGATTTAAACCCAGGTCTGTCTTCACCATTATACTAAACTGACTCCCTCTTTTTTTTTTTTTTTTTTTTTGAGACAGAGTTTCGCTCTTGTTACCCAGGCTGGAGTGCAATGGTGTGATCTCAGCCCACCGCAACCTCCACCTCCTGGGTTCAAGCAATTCTCCTATCTCAGCCTCCTGAGTAGCTGGGATTACAGGCACGCGCCACCATGCCCAGCTAATTTTTTGTATTTTTAGTAGAGACGGGGTTTCACCACATTGACCAGGATGGTCTCGATCTCTTGACCTCGTGATCCACCAGCCTCGGCCTCCCAAAGTGCTGGGATTACAGGCTTGAGCCACCGCGCCCGGCCACTGACTCCCTCTTTAAATGTGGTGTCCCGTCTGACTCCTGAGCGACATCAGAGCCATCACCTCCCCTAACTAGCCACAAAACCATCATTAATGAGCCCGCAGGCAGGCCAGCACTTGGCCCCAGTCGGGACAGAATAAGAAGAGCGGCTGTGGGACCAGGAGGGGTCCCCACTCACCGGTCTGGATGAGCCCAGAGCTACTGTCCCCGATGTCGAAGAACTGCTCGATGTCAGGAAGGACCCCTGGGAAAAGGAGAAAATTCAGGATGGGCCGGCAAAGTAGCGCCACCCTCGGGACCCTGGCTCCCTTCTCCTAGATTAGCTTCCTCCCAGAAGTCAGTCCCTACCAGCCACGGTGAAGCGATCCATGTAGTTCAGGAGATTGATGTAACACAGCACCCCCACTATAAGAGCCGAATGGCCCGGAGACAGGCCGGTGATGCACTGCAGCCCCTCCCGGTCCAGGACCTCGGGCTCCTCGGACTTGGGGTTCCCCGTGGACCCTGGCAACCCCGAGGTGCCAGGCACCGGCCCGTCGTCCGGGTCATCCGCCTGGCTGAGGAAGGGCGCGGTGTCGGACCCGGCCATGGTCCCGGGGGGCCGCGCCCGCCCGCGCTCCAGTCCCACCGACGATCCCACCTGCGAGGGGAGGAGACTGGAGAAAGGAGGATGGACGGAACCCAGGCAAGGGAAGAGCGCCCGGAGACGGGTGGCTTGCCCCGAAGCACAGAGCACGACTTGGAAGGGAGGAGGGGCCCTCTCACGCCTCCCCGTTTCAGTAGACACAGCACGGAGAGGACCTGCAGAATACACGTGATGTCGGGGACAGGGCGGGCTGAAGAGGGCAGGATCCCACGTTGAGGCCACCCGTCACCCCGGATAGTAGGCCGCTGCACTCGCTGCCGTTCAGCCCCAGCCCTGCATCAGGGCGGCCGCCATATTGCTTAAAGCCGATCATGTGACGCGGGAGCCGGGGTGGAGGGGGGTCCCCGCGGGGAAGCCCTCGACACGTGATCGGCCGCCCGACTACGGAAGCCTCTTAGGCGTTCCGCCCGGCCGCCCGCCTCACGTGACTGCCGGCCGGTTGCCACGGTAACCAGGAACCTTCCCAGACCCTGCAGTCCCAGGAGCGTCAAAAAGGGCGTCCCGGAGACTTGCTGGAGTCTTCTGTCCTTCCGAATCTCAGCTGCCTTATCTGGAAGGCCCACGTGACATACTCCTCCTTCAACAAACGGGATAATGGGGTCTCAAAAGGTTTTGGAAATGGTAGATACCTCTAAAAGCCAAGGTAGATACTTCTAAAATGGTAGATGGATGGATGGATGGATGGATGGATGGAGCTTGAGCAGCGCGATGGATGGAGGGATGGATGGAGGGATGGGTGGATGGATGGATGATGGATGATGGACGGACGGGCGGATGGACGGACGGATGGAGCTTGAGCAGCGCCCCGCCGTTTGTTGGGATTCCCCAACCCTGCTAGCCTCATAAACTCCTGAGCCTTTACCGTGGACACTTAAATACCTATTAAAGAAGCATCTCCACCCGCCCCTCCTGGAGCATGTTTTTCCTCATTCCAAGAGGGATTGGAGCTCTTATGCCCTTCGGTGGGCTTTGTAGCGCAGGCGGGGACTCCGAGCTAAGGAGACTCCCCGATACAGGACTAGGGTCAAATGGATAACTTGGAGTGGTTCCTTAGTGGCACCCTATAATCTCCAAGCTACATCTAACAGGCACTCTAAGTAAAATTAGTGTAGTTCTGTGCAAACACAGCTTCAAGACCCATCTTTCAACCAGCCCTTGAAGACCCTCTACTGAAATTCTGGAGTCTCGTGGGGAGAGAATCCCCCACCCCAAGACGCCTTATTGGAAACTATTTTGAGTCCGAATAGCCATAACTGGCCTTGCTCTCCACGCCTGCTCCCCGCCCATACTAGGTGCCTCGTGTCTCAGAACCGTAAGCTTGGTTTCCCCTGATGGACAGGAAATTCAGATTGCAGCCATTTAATTCCCTCAACAAAATATTATTGAACATCTACTATGTGCCTGGCATTTCACCAGGTTTCAGGGAAAGGCAGACTTACTCCCTTCCCTCCTGGAGCTTATCTAGAGAGTGATACACATTGTAAATTACACCTGTGGAATGAAAGGCAAGCTACATGTTGGATGAAAATTTTTACGAAGCATATATCTGCCAAAGGACTTGGTCCATGTAAAGAACTTTTTTTTTTTTGAGACAGAGCCTTGCTCTGTCACCCAGACTGCAGCTGGAGTGTAGTGGTGGGATCTCAGCTCACTGCAACCTACACCTCACAGGTTCAAATGAATCTTGTGCCTTAGCCTCCCAAGTAGTTGGGATTACAGGCATGCACCATCATGCCCGACTAATTTTTTATATTTTTGGTAGAGATGGGGTTGCACCATGCTAACCAGGCTGGTCTTGAACTCCTGACCTCAAGTGATCTGCCTGCCCCAGCCTCCCAAAGTTCTGGGATTATAGGCGTGAACCACCATGCCCAGTGTCTTCATTTTTATGTTTGTAGAGATGAGGTCTTGCTATGTTGTCCGGGCTAGTCTGGAACTCCTGACCTCAAGCAATCCTCCCGCTTCATCCTCCCAAAATGCCAGGATTACATGTGTGAGCCACTGCACCTGGCTCTTTTGTTCATTTTAAAAATCATGTTTTTGGCCAGACATAGTGGCTCAGCCCTGTAATCCTAGCACTTTAGGAAGCTGAGGTGGTAGGATCACTTCACCCCAGGAGTTCAAGACCAGCCTGGGTAACAAAGCAAGACTCATCTCTACAAAAAGCTAAATAAATGAAAATGAAATATACATGTCTCATATGACCCAGCAATTCCACTCTTAAGTATCCACCAATGAGAAATGAAAACATGTATCCAAACAAAAACCTGTATATGATTGTTCATAAAAGCATTATTCATAATAGCCCAAAATGAAAAGAATCCACATGTCCATCAACAGGGGAATAATATATTCATACCATGGGAATACTGCTTAGAAATAAAAAGGAATGACCTGTCAGAGACATTCAAACCAGAATGACTCCATCTTGAGTGAGGGCTAGGCAAATAAGGCTGAGACTTGCTGGACTGAATTCCAGAAAGTAAGGCATTCCTAGCCTCTAGATGTTTATGGTTAAGGGAAAAAATTAATAATGTTTACTAGGCCGGGTGTAGTGACTCACACCTGTAATCCCAACACTTTGGGAGGCCAAGGCGGGCAAATCACCTGAGGTCAGGAATTCAAGACCAGCCTGATGAACATGGTGAAACCCCATCTTTACTAAAAATACAAAAATTAGCTGGGCATGGTGGCGAATTCCTGTAATCCCAGCTACTCAGGAGGCTGAGGCAGGAGAATTGCTTGAACTGGGACCCAGCAGACAGAGGATGCAGTGAGCCGAGATCACACCACTGCACTCCTGCCTGGGCTACAGAGTGATACTCCATCTCGGGAAAAAAAAAAAAAGAAGAAGAAGAAAGAAGAAGAAAAGAAGAAGAAGAGGAGGAGGAGGAGGAGGAAAAACGAATTAATTTTTATCACGAACCCTTGTAGCCGAGCACATCTCTATATATACAAGTACTGTACATAAGGAGACACCTTCCTCCTCTTACTTTCAGGAATATCCTACTCTGTCTATGGAGTAGCTGTACTCTCACTGGTTTACTTTTTTTTTTTTTTTTTTTGAGACAGAGTCTTGCTTTGTTGCCCAGGCTGGAGTACAGTGGCGCAATCTTGGCTCACTACAACCCAGGTCCAAGCGATTCTCCTGCCTCAGCCTCCAGAGTAACTGGGACTACAGGCATGCGCCACCACGCCTGGCTAAGTTTTGTATTTTTAGTAGAGACAGTGGTTCACCATGTTGGTCAAGCTGGTCTTGAACTCCTGATCTTGTGATCTGCCAACCTCAGCTTCCCAAAGTACTGGGATTACAGGCATGAGCCACCATGCCCAGCTTACTGGTTTACTTTCTTAATAAACTTGCTTTTACTTTGCACTGCGGACTCACCCTGAATTCTTTCTTGGGTGAGATCCAAGAACCCTCACTTGGAGGTCTGTATCAGGACCCCTGTCCTGTAACAGAACTACTGATACAAACTAGAAATATTGTGTTAAGTGAAAGAAGCCAGACACAAAACACTGCATACTGTGTTGTTCCATTTATATGAACACGCAGAAAAGGCAAAAGTAAGGTGACAAAAAGCAGATTAGTCATTGCCTAGGGTCACAAGCAGGAGAAGGAAACCTTTGCATACTTATATACATTTACTAAAACTCACTGAGGCCAGGCATGGTGGCTTACACCTGTCATTCCAGTGCCTAGGGAGGCTGAGACGGGAAGATTAAGGCTGGGAGTTCGAGGCTGCAGTGAGCTATGATTGCACCACTGCACTCCAGCCTAAGTAACAGCAAGACTCTGTCTCTTCGTAAACAATTTTTTTAAAAAAACACATTTAACTGTATACTTAAAATGAGTCAATGTTTAGGCATATTAATTAAACTACAATAGGCCAGGCCTGATGGCTCACACCTGTAATCCCAGCACTCTGGCAGGCCGAGGCAGGCGGATCACTTGAGGTCCAGAGTTCAAGACCAGCCTGGCCAAAATGGGGAAACCCCATCTCTACTAAAAATATAAAAATTTGCCAGCCACAGTGGTGAACGCCAGTAATCCCAGCTACTTGGGAGGCTGAAGCAGGAGGTTTGAACCCAGGAGGTGGAGGTTGCAGTGAGCTGAGATCGCAACACTGCCTCCAGCCTGGGAGACAGAGGGAGACTTCACCTAAAAAAAAAAAAAAAAAAAAAAAGAATAAAAAAAGGAAAGAAAATAAAAGATCATCTGGCTGCAGAATGGAAGATAGATTTGAGAGGCCAGAGGGAAAACAGCCACCTGTGAAGTGGCTGTGGCACTAGCCTAGGCTGCAGGCAGTGGTGGCTTGGAGAGGGACAGAGGGAGCTGATTTGGGAGGGAGCTGGGACCGTTAAGTTGAATGGGTGATGCAGTGGGTATGGGGGATGAAGAGGGATAGAGGGTGAAGCTTTTCTGGCTTGTGCAGAGATGGATGGTGGTGGGATTCTTTGAGACAGGAATTTAATCATTCAACAAACATTTGTCAGAATATTACTGTGTCAAGGTGTCAGACACCAAGATACTTTTTTTTTTTTTGAGATGGGATCTCGCTCTTTTGCCCAGGCTGGAGTACAGTGGTGCAATCACAGCTCACTGAAGCCTCGAACTTCTGGGCTCAAGCAATCCTCCCACCTCAGCCTCCTGAGTAGCTGGGACGACAGGCATGTACCACACACTTGGTAATTTTTTGTTTGTAGAGATGCGGTTGCACTAGGTTGCCTAGGCTGATCTGGAACTCCTGGCCTCAAATGATCCTCCTACTTCAGCCCCCTGAAGTGCTGGGATTACAGGCATGAGCCACTGCAGCCCAGCCGAGATATATATATATATATATATATATATATCCACACATATATACGTATATACGTATATATGTGTGTGTGTGTGTATATATACATACATATATATATATATATATATATTTTTTTTTTTTTTTTTTTTTTTTTGAGACGGAGTCCCGCTCTGTCGCCCAGGCTGGAGTGCAACGGTGCAATCTCGGCTCACTACAACCTCCAACTCCCAGGTTCAAGGGATTCTCTTGCCTCAGCCCCCCCGAGTAACTGGGATTACAGGTCACCACCACCACGGCCAACTAATTTTTTGTATTTTAGTAGAGATGGGGTTTCTCCATGTCGGCCAGGCTGGTCTGAAACTCTTGACCTCAGGAGATCCACCTGCCTCAGCCTCCCAAAGTGCTGGGATTATGGGCATGAGTCACTGTGCCCGGCCCCAAGCTTCTGTTTTTCTTCTGTAAAATGGGAATAAGAACACCTGTCTCACAGGATTGCTCTGAGGATGAATGAGGTTATGAAAAGCGCCAAGGTTGGTATGTGACACTTAGTAAAGGCACATTAAAGTTTCAAGGGTTTGAGAACTTAAATCAGGAGTTTGAGAAAGAACATCCAGGGCCAGATGCAGTGGCTCATGCCTATAATGCCAGCACTTTGAGAGGAAGAGGCAGGAGAATTGCTTGAGGGCAGGAGTTCCAGACCAGCTTGGGCAACCGAGGGAGATTCCATCTCTACACAAAAATTTAACAATTAACAGGTGTGGTGTCCTACACCTGTAGTCCCAGTTACTCAGGAGACTGAGGTGGGAGGACTGCTTGAGTCCACAAGGTCAAGGCTGCAGTGAGCTATGACAGCACCACTATACTCCAGCCTGGGTGACAGAGCAAGACTGTATCTCAAGAAAACAAAACAAGGCTGGGCATGATGGCTCACACCTATAATCCCAGCACTTTGGGAGGCAGAGGCAGGCAGACTGCTTGAGCTCAGCAGTTCAAGACCAACCTGGGCAACATAGCAAGATCCCGCCTCTACAAAAGATACAAAAAAAAAAAAAAAATTAGCCAGGCATGCTGGCACGTGTCCCCAGCTAATCAGGAGGCTGAGGTAGGAATATCACTTGAGCCTGGGTGTCAGAGGTTGCAGTGAGCTGAGATAGTGCCACTGCACTCCAGCCTGGATGATAGAAGACCCTATCTCAAAAAAAGAGGAAAGAAAGATCACTCTAGAGATTCTTTTAGACATGTGAAAGGATGAACAATCTCATCATAGAAGAAATGCAAAGTCTTTTACAATGAGTGCTCTATCCCATATCCTTCCCAGATTAACTCAGGGGAAGGTATGAGGAAACTGGAACCTTCCAGCACTTGCTAGGGGACATGTAAAGAGGTACAGGCACTTTGGTTAGCAATCTGACAGTATTCAAGAATTAGTGACCAGTGGTTCCACTCCCGGATGGAAGCTCCCAAGAAAAATCGCACACAGGTACCCCAAGGGGATCACTACAACATTGCTTGCAATAGTGACATCCTGGAATTAGAACTTAGTTATAAATGACAGAAACCCTAAAATAACTGTGATTTTAAAAGGACAGCAGTCCCTCTTTCACGGGAAAGCTCAGAGGTTAGCACTGCCAGGCCAATGAGGTGCTATATGAATGTTGTATCCAGGTGTGAATCCAGGCACCTTCTCTCACTGTCCTGGCCCGTGTGGCTTCTGTTCCAGAGGACACAAGTCAGTAGGGCTGCTCCACTACCAGTAAGGCAGGAGGCAAGCAGAGTACAAGCTTCCTGCTATGCACACTTCTGGGAAGTGGTACCTTACTCCACTTACACCCCAGGAGCCTGTATTGGCTACATCTAGCTACAATGGAGGCCAAGAAGTATTCTAAATTTTTTTTTTTTTGAGACAGGGTCTTGATCTGTTGCTCAGGCTGGAAGGGGTTGGTACAACCATAGCTCATTGCAACCTCAACCTCCTGGCTTCAAGGGATCCTCCCACCTCAGCCTCCCAGGGTACTAGATAGGATTTCAGGTGTGTGCCCCGCTACCCAGCCACTGTTTATTCTGAGTATCTGTGCTTCACTAAAAACGATGGGTTCTAGTATCGCAGAAGGAGGAAGAATGGATATAAAGGAATAACTAACGATCTTTGTCACAAGGATTTTAGTGGGGGTCACATTAGGGCCACAAGGACAAAACTCCTGCAGTATACACAAGTTGAACATATTACCATTTATTCTGTTGAGGTTAAATATATCATTTTAACATATTCAAAATGATTAACGGACATTTAAAAAACTGAAAAAGTGGAGCACTGTACCATGTTATGGATGATTTTAATGTCATCAAAGAAATGCGACATTCCAACAAAACATTTTAAGAAGTTGACATATTTTTGTTATAATCATGCAAGTATCAGAGAAAGATTGATGGCTTATTTTTTTAGTAGACATTACTGAGAAAACTGGCTCATTATATCACAAAAAGTGAAACTTGGATCTAATATGCAAAGGCGCATTTCACTGGATTTTTTTTTTTTTTAAGAGAAAAGGTCTCGCTGTGTTGCCCAAACCGGTCTCAAATTCCTGGGCTCAAGCGATCCTCCTGCCTCTACCTCCCGAGTACAAAAGTGCATCTCAAATAGTTTTAAAGTAATGTTTAATATTTAGCAAGCAGTATAGCCCAGCATTAACCTATCAGAAGAAGTGCCTGACTGTTGAGAACAGATGCAGCCAAGGCGCCAGCCCTGTGTGTACCAGCTAGCTTTCAGTCCTGTGTAGTATTCTCAGTATGAAAGGAAAAGCTGAATAGCTAAAAGGAGAAAATGTAAAATATCTTAATGCTATTAAATAAGCAATCAAAAAGCAACCAGCTGCAGGATTATAGTTCATACGGTCTACACTAAGAATTTCTTTATCTTTTATTTTTTTGAGACAGTCTCACTCTGTCACTCAGGCTGAAGTGCACTGATGCGATCTCGACTCACTGCAACCTCCACCTCCCAGGTTCAAGTGCTCCTCCTTCCTCAGTAATCCCCAGTAGCTGGGATTACAGGCATGCGCCATCACCTCCAGCTAATTTTTGTATTTTTAGTAGAGACGGGATTTCACCAAGTTGGTCAGGGTGGCCTTGAACTCTTGGCCTCAAGTGATCCATCCAACTCGGCCTCCTAAAGTGCTGGGATTACAGGTATGAGCCACCACACCCATTCAAAATTAAGAATTTCTTATCAGTGAAGGATACCCTTAGACACAGAAATTTTCCATTTTTTCCCCCACTTTAAATTTTTTTTTTTTTTTTTTTTTGTAGAGACGAGGTCTCACTATGTTGCCCAGGCTGGTCTTGATCTCCTAGGCTCAAGCGATCCTCCCACCTCGGCCTCCCAACGTGCTGTTATTATAGGTGTGAGCCTCCATGCCCAGCCCAAATATGCATTCTTGGAGTTATTTGCAGTTGCCCAGGAATGTACAAGCCACTACTGAAAATAACCCAAAAAAAGACAAGAAACCCCAAGAAAAAACAGGCAATGAACAGAAAGGGAAACCAGAAAGGCTGGTAGGTGAAAAAATGCTGATAGGTGAAAAAATTCCCCAAATGAATGCTGATCAGATGAATCTACATTAAAGCACAGCACCACTATCTACCCATCAGACTGACAAAAATCAGGAAGTCCAGCAATACAAGTGCTGGCGAGGATTAGGAGAAATGGGCGGTCTCAAGTAGGAGGGTCAGTCACCATTCTAAAGAAAAATCTGGAAAACCATAAAGAAACTGATCTCTATGACCTGTAAGCTCATCCTGGGTACATATTCCGGTGAACGTTTCACACAAGCACAGAAGGGGACACACGAAAGGATGTTTATCGTGGCCTTGTGTCCGGTGCCGACAGGTCGGAAGCACCCAGGTATCCCCCACTTTAGGCAATGTGTGTAAATTCCAATTGACACTGTGGAGTGCCATGTGGCAGGTCAAAGCAATGGTGCATTTCTAGAAGAGGGAATAGGTCTATATCTTAACACACATTGGGTGAAAATGGCATAAGACCTATTGAACAATAGCACTATGTACAGTAAAAGCACATATTCACACATGAAATTTGGTATTTTACAATACTACATTCATATTTAAAGACATGGGCGCTTATGGGAGAGGATGGTATAAAGAAATGGAAAAAAGCCATAAAACCAGAGAATCCTCATATGGGACTGTATTCCTGAGATCTAAAACCAAAGGGCTGAATGTGCTGTTATGCCTTAAATGTGTGCACCAGGAAGTGTAAACTAGAAAGGGTGGCTCTGAAGGGTCCTGGGGTGAGAAAGACACCCTGGGCTGAGAATCCACCACCTTTACCCTTCAATAGAGTCCCCCAGTTGTCTGCTTATGCTTCAGCCAACATGTGTGAGCTTGGTCATTTCCTGCAAGCCAGGCAACCACACCAGTGTATGAGCCTCAAGCAAATGTCAGTCCCAAGGCACAGATGGGACTAAGGCCTCTGCTGGGCTAGACATGGTGTAATTCCCAGGCCTGGAAGCTCATACCCAACCCTCATTTATTTCAACTCACTTTCAGTATGTGCATAGTTTCATAGAGCAGACCTTTCCATGAGGGTAAGGGGATGATGGTGAAAGGGGAAGGGTAAGGGGACATCTCCAGGTCACAGGGCTGCAAAACCCAGTATGACTTGTAGACGGAGCCACAGGCCACTCAGAGCAACAACACCCACAGAACTCACCAAGTAGTTAACGGCTCTAAACGGGAGTCAACAGGAGAGGACAAAGGTCACTCCTTGATTTTGCTGCAGCTTAAAGATAAGTTCTACCTCAGCGTCTGCTAGCCCTTACGGGGCAAAAAGGGGGAATCATTCTCCCCAAGTCCAGGCTGGGCCTTCAAACAGGAAGATACCCTGGACTGAGATACCCTGACACCCTGGGTGTCAGCCCCAGACCTCAATGAGGTCCCCAGATTCCATGCCCAGGTCAGCCGGCAGCTCCTTGCCTGAAAGCTTTGTCCCATCAAAGAAGAAGGAGAGCTTCTGTCCCGAGAGCCCCATGGCCTCCTCGTAGCGGGACATAAGGATCTTGAGAGGGGAATCCTGGATGGAGAGAAACGAAAATGGATGTCAGAGCATGAAAACGGGGTTGGGGAGGGAATCCCGTAGGGACAAACAGGGAACTTGGGACAGGGAAGTCGGTGGGGGGGGAGGGGACAATAAAGTCAGGGCCCCATGGGGGAAATCATGAGAGGACAAAAAAGCCAGCCTAGCTGGCTCCTCTCTGGGAGCTGGGACAAATCCCCTCATCCCTCTGGGCTCCAAGTTGCTCAAGTAGAGGGTGGGGGCCACACGCCCAAGCCTTAGGAGTGTAGGCTTCAAGCTAGGCAAGTCCTGCTAGGCTCGGCCTCCTCCTCTATGAAATGGAGGTGTGTACCAATAAGAGAACCCAGATTCTAGAGTGAGGCTGAGCCAAGCTGGAGGGCAGGTTCTCCCACCTACTAGATAGGTGACCTTAAAAACCATTATGTCCCCCAGAAAAGACACCTTGAGGTCTTAACCCCTGGTAAGTGTGAATGTGATGTGATTTGGACATGGGGCCTTTGCAGATGGAATCAAGTTGAGCTTGTACTGGATTAGGATGCACTAATGCCAAGGGACTGGTAGACCGCTCAATGCAACCTCCGCCTCCTGGGTTCAAGCGATTCTCCTGCCTCAGCCTCCTGAGTAGCTGTGACTACAGGCACAGGCCACCACACCCAGCTAAGTTTTTGTATTTTTGGTAGAGACAGAATTTCTCTACCAGGCTGGTCTCAAACTTCCGCTTTGGCCTCCCAAAGTGCTGGGATGACAGGCTTGAGCCCCTGCACTGGCCTGGGACTGGTATACTCATGAAACAGACACAGGCCGGGCACAGTGGCTCACGCCTATAATCCCAGCACTTTGGGAGGCCGAGGCGGGTAGATCACGAGGTCAAGAGATCGAGACCATCCTGGTCAACAAGGTGAAACCCCGTCTCTACTAAAAATACAAAAATTAGCTGGGCATGGTGGTGCGCGCCTGTAGTCCCAGCTACTTGGGAGGCTGAGGCAGGAGAATTGCTTGAATCCAGAAGACGGAGGGTGCGGTGAGCTGAGATCGTGCCATCGCACTCCAGTCTGGGTAACAACAGCAAAACTCTGTCTCAAAAAAAAGAAACAGACACAGAAACACAGACATAAGGGGAGAGCACACGCGATAACAGAGACAGAATGGAGTGCACCTGTACGCCAAGAACACCAAGGACTGTGGGCCACCGGCAGGAGCCAAGAAGAAAGAAGGCAGGTTCCACGAAGAGTCCCTGAGGGACTGCATGATGTTGTCAAATATATATTTGGTCTTTGTATGTTTCCTGGTATAAAATTCCTAAAATCCTTGGGCTCTTCAAAGAGTTAAGTAGCTTTTTGCATGCTAATGAGTTGACTGGTGGCTGGCAGCCTCCAGAGAGCTTCAGGAATGGTGACAGTCACTAGAAAGACCAAGGTAGGATAAGAGAGTTGGGACTTTTTCCCACCCTCACCCCCCAACCTCTAAGAAGGAGAGAGACAGTGAAGGTTGAGCTACCCCCAATGGCCAGTGGTTTAATCAGTCATGCCTATATAACAAAGCTTCCATAATAATCCAGAGGACAGGGTTTGGAGAGCTTCCCAGCAGTTGACTATGTGGTGGTTCCTCGAGAGTGGTGCTCAGGCAAGGTATGGCAGCTCTGCGCCCTTTCTCATGCTGTGCCCTATGCATCTCTTCATCTGAATCCCTTGTAACATCCTTTTATAATAAACCAGTAAACATAAGTGTCTCCGTGAGTTCTATGAGCTGCTCTAGTAAATTAAACCCAAGGAAGGGGCCAGGCACAGTGGCTCACGCCTGTAATCCCAGGACTTTGGGATGCCAAGGTGGGAGGATTAGTTAAGCCCAGGAGTTTGAGTCCAGCCTGGGCAACATAGTGAGACCTCCATCTACACAAAATAATTTAAAAAATTAACCAAGGGTAGTGGCATACATCCATAGTCCCAGCTACTCAGGAGGCTGAGGTGGAAGGATCACTTAAGCCCAGGAGTTTGAAGCTATCGTAAGGCATGATTGCACCACTGCGCTCCAGCCTGGGCAACACAGGGAGACCTTGTCTCTTTTAAAAAACAAAAAAAGAGAGAAAAAAAATCTTAGTTTTTTCCCCCGTATCTTCAGAGACCCTGGCTCTGCTCACATCTTGATTTCAGACTTCTTCCCTCCAGAACAACGAGAGGGAAGCTACCCAATTTGTAGTACTTTGTTACAAAGGCCAAAATACAAAAAAGTGGGGTGCTGCTGGAATAAATGGTTAAATGTAACAGTGGCTTTGGGATTGGATCAAGGCTGGTATAATTTTTTTTTTTTTTTTTTGGGATGGGGTCTTATTTGTGCCCCAGGCTGAAGTGCAGTGGCACAATCTCAGCTCACTGCAGCCTCAATCTCCCAGGCACAAACAATCCTCACACCTCAGCCTCCTCAGTAACTGAAACTATAGGCATGCACTAGCATGCTGGGCTTATTTTTGTATTTTTTTTTTTTTTTGTAGAGGCAGGGTTTCACTATGTTACCCAGGCTGGTCTTGAACTTCTGAGCTCAAGCAATCTGTCCACCTCGGCCTCCCAAAGTGTTAGGATTACAAGTGTGAGTCACCACGCCTGGCCAAAGCTAGAAGAATTTTGAGGTGCATGTTAGAAAAAAACCTAGACTGCCTTGAAGAGTCTGCTCGTGGAAATATGGACTTTAAAGGGAAAGTCCCTGCAGGCTCAAGAAGAGAACAGGTGCAGAGAAAGCTCCTATTATCTTACAAGGATAAATATATTGTTAGCAATATGAATATTAAAGGCGTTTCTGGTGAGGTCTCTGTAGGAAATGAGGAATGTGTTACTGGTAACTGGAATAAAAGTTTCCAATAAAGGTGGCACAATCATGGCTCACTATAGCCTCAATCACCCAGGCTCAAGCAATGCTCCTGCCTCAGCCTCCTGGGGAGCTGGGACTACAGATGCTGGGATTACAAGTGTGAGCTACTGCACCTGGCCCAATTTCTTCCTTTTGAAATGGGAATGTCTGTCCCATCACTGTATTTTGGAAGCCAATACTTATTTTCTAGATTTTATGGGTCCACAGAGAGAGAGGAATTTTGTCCCAGAATGAACCATACAAAGTCTCATCCCAAACTGATTTAATGATTTAGAAAATAAGATTGGGACTTCTTGAGTTGATTCTATTTAGATGAGATTTTGGACTTAAGAGTTGATGCTGGGATGTTGGAATGGGATGAATATATTTTGGAAATGGGAAGGCCATGAGAACTGTATCACCTGAAAAGGTATTCTGTGGTCCTAATCCCTGGTAAATGTGAATGCGACCTTATTTGGAAGCAGGGACTTTGTGGATATAATCAAGTTAAGATGAGGTCATGCTTGGTTAGGGTGCGGTAGCCCAACATGACCTATGTCCCTCCAAGAAGAGAGAACAAACACAGACAGAGACACATGGAGAACACCATGTGATCACAGAAGCAGAGACTGGAGTGACACAGCTTCAAGCCAAGGAACTCTGGCCACTAGCAGAAGCTACAAAGAGGTAAGGAAGGTTTCCACTCAGAGTCTCAGAGGGAACAAGGCTCTGCCAACAGCTTGATTTCAGACCTCTCGTCTCCAAAGTGTAAGGGAAGAAGTTTCTATCGTTTTAAGCCACCCAGTTTGCGTATTTTGTTGCAGTGGCCTTAAAAAGTGAATACAGGCTGCACACAGTGGCTCACGCCTGTAATCCCAACACTTTGGGAAGCCGAGGCGGGTGGATCACTTGAGGTCGGAAGTTTGAGACCAGTCTGACCAACATGGAGAAACCCTGTCTCTACTGAAAATACAAAAATTAGCTGGCCACGAGCACCTGTAATCCCAGCTACTCAGGAGGCTGAGGCAGGAGAATCACTTGGACCCAGAAGGCGGAGGTTGCAGTGAGCCAAGATCATGCCATTGCATTCCAGCCTGGGTGACAGAGCAAGACTCCGTCTCAAAAAATAAATAAATAAAACAACTTTAGCAAGTTGCTTATTCCACCTCTCTAGAATTCAGTCTTCTTACTGCCAAATGAGGATAACAACAGTGGGTTCCCACATCAGATTGTTGTGAAATTAAGTAAGATCCTGAATGTGAGGAAATCCTCAGCATGGGATCTGACACTTAGCCACATGGCCTTTGTTATTATTTTGATGGGTTTTATTGATTACTGTCCAAGGGTCCTTTCTGTTTTAATCAAGAGTCAGGAGACTGAGAGGGCACCCAGACTAGGGCAGACAGTGCCAGCAGAAGCAGGGAGGGAAGTTGAACAATGGGTTTTCCCACTGGCTAGGACGGCTGGGAACCCAAGAACATGGAGGGCAGTGTCTCCTGCAAGTCAAGATTAGGGGACTCCATCCTGCATTAACTGGCAAGAGAGACAAGAGGCGGCAGAGGAGAGGGTGAGGGGTGTGGAGAGCCATCTCTCCCACTCACTCGAGACAGTGAGACTTCCAGCGTCTGGTGTTTCTCCTTCCCCTGCACCCGGAGCTGGAGCTGTTGGGATGTCTCTGTGGCCTCTGGAGAACTTGCTAGTACCACACAGTCTGTGGGGGGCAGAATCAGGAAGCCAGGCTAAGTTGGGGCTTAGAAGCAGGGCCCATGCTGAACATCTCCCCATATCCCCTTCCCCTGGCAAACATCTCAAGGCCCCACCTCCCTGCCTCCCTCTCACCAATGATGTCAGCCACTCCGAGCTTTAGGGTCCTGGGAGTGGCAGTAGGGGATAGCTCTGTCTCTCCAAAGAGCAAAAGGATCCTGCTTGGGGACACCCCAAGGTGGGCAGCCATGTGGTCCACCACACTCTGCAGGGGCTCCGACTAGGGATGGGACAAAAAGCAGAAGAGGTCTTCCTGCATCGAAATCCACCCCCACACCACCACCACCAAACACAAGCTCTGGCCTTAGCTACTTGCTAAGCTCCTCATCGGTGAGTTTCATCATATTTACCTGGTAAGGTATAGAATAAAATTGTGTTAGCAAGGGATACTGGCAAGTAACATAAAGAAATACAGCAGCCATAGGTTAGGGCAAAGAAAGGGGTGGTGGGGATTGTGGCAAACTGGAACTCACATGCCAGCCAGACAAGCTAGCTGTTATGGAGTTCCAGCTGATTGGCACTATGTGGGAACGTGGGCCAGTGTGACTACATCTTCCTATTTTTCTCTTTTTTTTTTTTTTTTTGAGACAGAGTTTCACTCTTGTTGCCCAGGCTGGAGTGCAGTGGCATGATCTTGGCTCAGTGCAACTTCTGCCTCCTGGGTTCAAGCAATTCTCCTTCGTTAGCCTCCTGAGTAGCTGGGATTACAGGTGCTCACCACCACACCCGCCTAATATTTTTAGTAGAGACAGGGTTTCATCGTGTTGGCCAGACTAGTCTCGAACTCCTGATCTCAGGTGATCCACCCGCCTCGGCCTCCCAAATACAGGTATTACAGGCGTGAGCCACCGTGCCAGGCTGAATCTTCCTATTTTTTAAGAGAAGCCAGAAATCCAGACCTTTTTTTTTTGTTTTTGAGGCATAGTCTTGCTCTTCTACCCAGACTGGAGTGAAGAGGTACCATTTTGGCTCACTACAACCTCTGCCCTGCAGGTTCAAGCTATTCTCCTGCTTCAGCTTCCCAAGCAGCTGGAATTATAGGCGCCCACTACCACAACTGGCTAATTTTTATATTTTTAGTAGAGACAGGGTTTTTAAGATGTTGGCCAGGCCGATCTCAAACTGCTGACCTCAGGTGATCCACCCACCTCAGCCTCCCGAAGTGCTGGGATTACAGGCATGAGCCATCGTACCTGGCCAGAAATCTGGACCTTTGTATGAAATTACCCATCACAAAGCTGACAACAAACTTGTATATTTTTAAAGCACTCGGCCAGGCATGGTGGCTCACACCTATAACCTCAGCATTTTAGGGGGCTGAGGTTAGAGGCTTGCTTCAGGTCAGGAATTTATCAGCCTGAGCAGCAAAGCAAGATCCCATTTCTTTTTTTTTTTTTTTGGAGACAGGGTCTTGCTCTGTCACCCAGGCTACAGTGCAGGGGACTACAGGTGTGCGCCACCATGCCTGGCTAATTTTTTTATTTTTAGTTGAGACAAGGTCTCACTATTTTGTCCAGGCTGGTCTTAAACTCCTGGCCTCAAGTGATCCTCTCACCTTGACCTCCCAAAGTGCTGGGATTACAGGCGTGAGCCACCATGCCTGGCCCCCATCTCTGTTTCAAAAATAAAATAGGCTAGGCATGGTGGCTGACATCTCTAATCCTAGCACTTTGCCAGGCTGAGATAGGTGGATCACTTGAGATCAGGAGTTCAAGACCAGTCTGACCAACATGGTGAAACTCCATCTCTACTAAAAATACAAAAATTAGCCGGGCGTGGTGTGGGGCACCTGTAGTCTCAGCTACTCAGGAAGCTGAGGCAAGAGAATCGCCTGAACCTGGGAGGCAAAGGTTTCAGTGAGCCAAGATCATGCCACTGCACTTCAGCTTGGGTGACAGAGTGAGACTCCATCTCAAAAAATAAAAATTAAATAATAAAATAAAAGTCTACAGGGAAAAAAAAGTAGACACACTGCTGAAAAAGCAATGGGCTGCCAGTTAGCAACCTCTGGCTTAGTTGCTTGAATGATACATGATGCGTCAGTAATGGTAAACATCTGTTATCATTCTTGGTGTTGAAACAGGGTCATCCCTACAAAACTATCAGGCTTGACCAGGAAGCTGGGGAAGCTCAGGGTGACTGAGTGGCATCTGCTCTGTCCAGGGCATTGAGAGCAAGCCCAAGAAGGAAGCCCAGGGTCCTAGGAGGGAAAGTAGGAAGGACTCCCAAAAAAAAAGTTTCTCAGAAGACAAGATGTGGCCAGGTGCAGTGGCTCATGCCTGTAATCCCAGCACTTTGGGAGGCCAAGGCGGGTGGATCACGGGGTCAAGAGATAGAGACCATCCTGTCCAACATGGTGGAACCCCGTCTCTACTAAAAATGCAAAAATTAGCTCGGCAGGGTGGCGCTCGCCTGCAGTCCCAGTCACTTGGGAGGCTGAGGCAGGAGAATCTCTTGAACCCGGGAGGTAGAGGTTGTAGTGAGCCAAGACTGCACCAGCCACTGCACTCCAGCCTGGCAACAGAGTGAGACTCAGTTGCAAAAATAAATAAATAAATAAGATGCTTCATACCTGAAATCCCAGCACTTTGGGAGGCCAATGAGGGACAATCGCTTGAGCCCAGGAGTTCAGAACCAACCTGGACATAGTGAAATCGCTTTTTGAAGAAAAAGAAAAAAGAAAGACACAGGATGCTTATGTGGAGCCTTGAAGAATGGATAGAAAGTTTGCCAGAGAGGGGAGCACTGGGAAAATGCAGACAGAGGAAACAAAAAGTGTGAAGGCATGAAGGACTGAAAAGAATGACAGGCAGCTCCAGAGAGCAGGCTGGGAAAAGGATGACACAGTCCCTTCTGCCAGGACACCCCTGCTGGACACCACCATCTCTCTAGAGGCATCTCCTGGGTCCTTCTCCCATGGGCCTCAGGCACTCACCATTCTGACAGGAAACCTGATCACGTCAGCCCGGCACCGGATTTTGAGGGGGAAGAGTCGGGGAGTCTCCGGGAGGATGGGCCCTTCCACCAAGACCACTTCATCCTCTCGGCCCTGTTGGTCTTGGCCCTGAGGTGGCTTGGGGCTCAGGCAAGAACGGAGATCCTGGAGGCGCTTGTTCACCTCTCTGCGGTGCAGACAGGACTCTGGGTCAGCTGGAGTCAGCCACCCTCCCAAACTGCCCTTTTCCATCCCAGCCAGAACCCCTGCACTTGGCACCTTAATTTCTTGAGTGCCCGAGTATGCTTTCTGCTTTTGGTCCTTTGTGAAGATGTGGGCAGAGGACAGCTGTCCTGATTCCTGCAGAAGCAAGAGAAGGCAGGATGGAGGCAGTGGAGAGAGCCTGACCCCACAAATCCCTAGGAACCAGATTCCTGGATAATCGAGAGGAGCACAGTCGGACGCAATGGCTCACACCTGTAATCCCAGCACTCTGGGAGGTTGAGCCAGGAGAATCGCTCAAGCCCAGGAGTCCAAGACCAGGCTGGGCAAGATGGGGAGACCCTACTTCTACTAAAAAAAATTTTTTTAATTAACCAGGCATGGTGGCACACAGCTGTAGGCACAACAGAACAAGACTCTGTCTCCAAAAAAAAATGCCTCAGGCTTTCCCAGTCCCCTACCCCTGCCTTCCAGTGAAATGGGGCTCCCTTTTTATTTTTTAAATGTATTTTTACGTTTTTAGAGATAGAATTTCATTCCATTGCCCAGGCTGGAGTGCAATGGCGCAATCTCAGCTCACTGCAACCTCCACCTCCCGGGTTCAAGCAATTCTCCTGCCTCAGCCTCCAAGTAGTAGACTCCAAGTAGTGGCGCCTGCCACCACATGCAGCTAATTTTTTATTTTTTAGTAGAGAAGGGGTTTCACCATGTTGACCAGAATGGTCTCAATTGCTTGACCTCACGATCCACCAGCCTCGGCTGCCCAAAGTGCTGGGATTACAGGCATGAGCCACCACAACCGGTCAGCATTATTTTTATATTTACATAAAAATGACACTGTGTATCATTCAAATATTCAAATATTAAGGAAGAAAATGCCTCACTTTTGAGATTAAATCACTTCCAGGAAAATATCCAGTAATATCTGACAGAGAACAAGCACTTACTATATGTCCAGTGTTGCCCTGGCTGGTCTCAAACTCGTGGGCTAAAGAAATCTACTCCCCTCAGTCTCCCAAAGTGCTGGGACCACTGTACCCAGTCAAATGTTAACTCTTGATTGACTCAGCAATTCACTGACACAAATGCCACTATTATCCCTGGCTTTGGGGGTTTTTTGTTTGTTTGTTTGCTTTTTAGAGACAAGGTCTCACTCTGTTGCCCAGCTTGGAGTACAGTGGCATGATCATTGCTTGCTGCGGCCTCCAACTCCTGGGATCAAGCAATCCTCCCACCTCTGCCTCCAGAGCAGCTGGGACTACAAGTGTGCACCACCATGCCAGGCGTGTGTGTGTGTGTGTGTGTGTGTGTGTGTGTATGTGGCGGGGGGGATAGGGTCTCTCTATGTTACTCAGGCTATAAAACAGGGTTTTATAGATGAAGAAAGAGAAGCATGGAGAGGACAGGGAAGCTGGCTTGGAACCACGCCTTAAACTGGCATTACTAGAGTCTGAGAATCCACTCCCAAGGGTGGTCCTGAAGGGTTCACTGTCACCCTCTGGAGTAAGCCACCTCTTTTCCCAAGCACTTCAATCCCCACATGAACCTCAACAGTCCTTCTATCCCTTCTTCTTACCCTTTCAGAAGTCACCCAAGTGTCCTGCCTACCTCAACTTACCCCTCCAACTCACTTCCTGCTCCCAGGGCCTAAGGGCCCTGGCCTCACTCACAGAAACTCTGTCCTTTTCTTCTCTTCTTTATCCTTAGTCCTCAGCTTTGTCTTCCAGGGAGAGCCTGGTGATGGGGAGTCCTCATGGTAGAGACCACTCAAATCTGCCTGCTCCACCTCTGAAGGCAGAGGAAGAGAAAGTAGAAGGGGGTTAGCCAAGGGTGGCCAGCGAAGGCCAAGGAGAAACAAGTCAGAGGCTTCAAGAAGGTCCCTAAAAAGGAGGAGACCATGGAGCCCCTGGTACACACAGAGAAAAATGATAATATCTGGAAAGGCGGCAGGGGATGAGACTGCTATTTTAGTATAAAGATCGCTCATATTGGCTGGGTGCGGTGGTCCATGCTTGTAATCCCAGCACTTTGGGAGGCCAAGGCGGGAGGATCACCTAAGGTCAGGAGTTCAAGACCAGCCTACCCAACATGGAGAAACCTCGTCTCTACTAAAATACAAAATTAGCCAGGCATGGTAGCGCATGCCTATAATCCCAGGTACTCAGGAGGCTGAGGCAGGAGAATCGCTTAAACCCGGGAGGCAGAGGATGCAGTGAGCCGAGGTCGCACCATTGCACTCTAGCCTGGGTAACATGAGCGAAACTCCATCTCAAAAAAAAAAAAAAAATCGCTCATATCAACTTAAATTTCTCATGAAAAGAAACCAGGTATTATATTCTATAATATAGAAATTTCTGTCCATTTGCCTGCCATCAATAAAGGATCATTACAAACCACGAAAATAAATACTATGAAAATTAAAAATGGTAAGAAACCCAAGATCAGGGGACATGTAGCAATGTCTAGAGAAAATTTTGCTTATCAAAATGTGGAGGGCGAGGGGGCTGAGGTGTAATATTTCCCAGGGATGGAAGTCAGGATGCCACTAAACTTTTACAAAGTACAGGACAGCTTCCAACACCAAAGAATTTTCCAGTCCAAAAAATGTCGGTAATGCTAAAGTCGTGAAATCCTCTCTTAACTAAATATGACAGCTGCCAGAGGCCTGTGATTCTGCTTTTTTTTTTTTTTTGACACCCGACTCTTACTGTGTCACCCAGGTTGGAGTGCAATGGCATTATGGCTCATTGCAGCCTCGACTTCCTGGGCTCAGGTGATTCTCCCATCTCATCCTCCTGAGTAGCTAGGACTACAAGTAGACATCACCATGCCTGATTTGTTTTTTATTTTTTATTTTTGTAGAAACAGGGTCTCTCCATGTTGCACAGGCTGGTCTCAAACTCCTGGGCTCAAGCAATCCTCCCGCCTCAGCCTCCCAAAGTGCTGGGATTACAGTTGTGAGGCACTGTGCCCAGCCAATCCTGCATTTCTAGCAAGCTTCCAAGAAATGCCATATACAGCTGGGTCCACATTTTGAGTAGCAGGAATAGAGGTACGTTTACATAGTACTTCTATGTCCTAGGTACTGTCCTAAACCACATACCCAGCCAAGAGACCACTCTCTCTACATTCCCTTTTGTTAATTCTCACCAAAATCTGCACTAAAAGGGATTCTACTACTATCCCCACTTTCCTAACGAGGAAATTGAAGAATTGAGAAATTAAGAAACTTTCCCAGGCCAGGCATGGTGGCTCATGCCCGTAATCCCAGCACTTTGGGAGGCTGAGGTGGGCGGATCAGCTGAGGTCAGGAGTTCAAGACCAGCCTGGCCAACATGATGAAACCCCATCTCTACTAAAAATACAAAAATTAGCCGGGAATGATGGCAGGCCCCTGTAATCCCTGCTACTCGGGAGACCAAGACAGGAGAATCGCTTGAAACTGGGATATGGAGGTTGCAGTAAGCTGAGATGGTACCAGTGCACTCCAGCCTGGGCAACAGAGCACAACTCTGTCACAAAAAACAAAAGCAAAGAAACTTGCCCAAGGTCACATAGCTATTAAGAAATAGAGCTGGGATTCAAACCCAAGCTAAATAACTCCTGTCTGCCCTCAATCACCCTACCATACTCCCTTATGGTATAAGAGTCTTGGTCCAAGGTCTCCATTTGCCCAGTGGACTATTTCCTTATTAGACTTGATTCCTATTCTCTGTGCTTGAGTTGTTTGCAAAAAATGCATCACTGGGCTGGGCGCAGTGGCTCACACCTGTAATCCCAGCACTTTGGGAGGCTGAGGTGGGCAGATCACTTGAGATTAGGAGTTCAAGACCAGCCTGACTAACATGGAGAAACCCTGTCTCTACTAAAAATACAAAATTATCTAGTCGTGGTGGAACATTTCCATAATCCCAGCTACTCGGGAGGCTGAGGCAGGAGAATCACTTGAACCCGGGAGGCGGAGGTTGCAGTGAGCCAAGACCATGCCATTGCACTCTAGCCTGGGCAACAAGAGCAAAACTCCATCTCAAAAAAATATATATATCACTTGGGGAGGACAAAGGGCAGCCCTGATAAGATTCAGAGAAGACCCTGCTGGCTCCAGTATTCCCAAGAAACTTGCTGCAGATGTAACAAGATGTCACAGATACTCAACACCTCCCCCTATCCTGCCCCCAAGGACTACAGAATCAGCCTTCCTGCGGGTGGCACCAGAAATGTATACATTAACACATACTATGCCTGTTAATCCAGCTCCTGTGGCTAGGATGCAGGAGTCCCCTCTCCCATGCCCTTTTCTTGAGCCTCAGGAAACAAGTGACTGCAGGAATATAAACCCCAGGAAGACTCCTAAGAGAAGCCAGCGCTTAGTGTTTCTCCCTGGAGGCCCTCTCTTACCTTCCTCAGCCCCTGGAGGGTAGAGTTTCAGGAGGGATAGGTCGTCTGGGATAAGGTGAAGGCTCCTTTCAACCTGCAAAGACAAGAAGGGAGAGGGGGTCAAGCCCAAGTCAAGTCCTTCCCTCTACGGAAAGAAAAACCTAGGGGTAATTCTCCCGACACCCAGCTCCTAAATCCCTCCTAAGATCGCGGACACCTTGGCCCTCTCCTGGCGACTTAGGAGTCCAGATTCTCCAGGATTCAGAATGGAATCCCTTCGCCCTTTCCTCAGTCTGCCTAAGGCACTCTGAAGATGTATGTTTTGTTGTCCTTTTTAACTAGATTACTAGCCGCCCCTCTATCACGGAACTCTTAGGGACTCCCAGCCCCCTAGCTCACATGACCATCGGAGGACCCCAGCCTCCTGGAGCCACCTTGTCCTCTCTGAACCTGCATGGACCCCAACCCCCAATACCTCAGCTCCCTGGCTTCATTAGCCATGGGCCCCAACCTCAAAATACAACCGCTTCGGGTTCTTCCAGTCCCTCTAAATCCACAGGAACCCCAGCTCTTCAGCCTCGCTATGCCCCCAAGACTCTAACTCCTAGGAATCCTAAACTTGCAATGCATCCCAACCTCCTTCACCACCCCGGTCTACAGAAAGTCCCGGAGCCCTGTCTCTCCCTGCCTCCAACACCCTAGCACCACAGGGCCAGCCCCAGAACCCCAGCCCCAATACTCCTACAACCCTACCCTCCCCGAACGCCGGCCCCTCCCTGGAGACCAAGCCCCTGGCCCTTCCGCCCGTCCCCTCTCCGGGACCGGCCGCACCTTCCCCGAGTACACCGGAACCAGCGGCGCCTCCCCGGCATCCAGCAGCAGCCGGCGCCGCCGCCTGACCGGCTCCCGTGGGGCTCCAGCGGGTCGCGCGTCCGCCCCTTCGCTGTCACTGTCGCTGTCATCCCGGGACGCGGCCGGCCCAGGAATCTCCGGGGGCGCAACCTCAACCGCGTCAGCTGCACCGCAAACAGTGGCGACTTCCAGAATTTCCTCATCGCTGTCGCTGACCAAGTCCACAGACACCACGTCCAGAGTGCCCCGGGCTGGAGACCGCTGAGCCCGAGGACGCCGGCCCCGGCCGCCCCGGCCGCCTCGACCCCTTCGGCCGGCACCGCTACCTCGGGACCAGCGGCCCCGCTTCCCCCCAGATTCCGCCATGGCACACGCTCCGCCACCACACACGCCCGCCTCCTCACGCCTCTCCCCGCCCACTTCAGAGACTTTCGCCTTTCATTGGACAAACAGCCTGCTCGTTAGCACCTCTTCACGCCCACACGCTCAGGATCCGCCTTTCCGCCTTTTCATTGGTCTCTGTACCCGCTTATTATGCGTCCACCACTGAAACCAAGGCGCCAAAGATTCCAATCACCTCGGCGCAATCAGCGTAGGTTTCGATTCAGTCGGCCTCACTCATTGGCTGGGTCCCCTCTCCACAGACTAGCCTCTCCCGGACCCTCCCATCTAAGACACCGATCTTCTTGCTTAGTTAGGAGCGGGGCGTCCTGGGAAATGTAGTCCTCAAGCGCTAAGGCTTCCGGAAGGAAGAAAGCGGGCCTGGTGAGAATTCTCTTCTACAGTGAGAATTCCTTGGAGAAACTGCGGATATGACCAGGCGCAGAGCCTTACGCTTGTAGTCCCGGCACTTTGAGAGGCTGAAGCGGCAGATCGCTTGAGCTCGGGAATTGAATCCAGCCTGGCCAATGTGGCGAAACCGCGTCTCCACTAAGAAGGCAAAAATTGGGCGCGGTGTCTCACGCCTGTAATTCCAGCACTTTTGGGTTCCTAGGCAGGCAGATCACCTGAGGTCGGGAGTTCAAAAACAGCCTGACCTGTAATCCCAGCACTTTGGGAGGCCGAGGCGGGTGGATCACGAGGTCAAGAGATCGAGACCATCCTGGTCAACATGCTGAAACCCCGTCTCTACTAAAAATACAAAAAATTAGCTGGGCACGGTGGCGCATGCCTGTAATCCCAGCTACTCGGGAGGCTGAGGCAGGAGAATCGCTTGGGCCCAAGAGGCCGAGGTTGCAGTGAGCCGAGATCGTGCCATTGCACTCCAGTCTGGGCAACAAGAGCGAAATTCTGTCTCAAAAAAAACAAAAAGAGTGCAGAAAATACTCGGGCGTGGTGGCACCCCGCTGTGGTCCCAGCTACCTCAGGATCGCTGGAGCCTGGGAGGCGGAGATCGTACCACCGCACCCTAGCCTGGGTGACAGAGCCAGACTCTTGTCTCAAAAATAGTTTTAAAAAATAATAAGCCTGGGCTCAGTGGCTCACACCTGTAATCCCAGCATTTTGGGAGATCTAGGCGGGCGGATATCCTGAGATCAGGAATTCCAGACCAGCCTGACCAGCATGGTGAAACCCCATCTCTACTAAAAATATAATAATTAGCCGGGCATGGTGGTGCATGTCTGTAATTCCAACTAATCCGGAGGCTGAGGCAGAATAATTGCTTGAACCCGGGAGTCAGAGGCGACAAAGTGAGACTCTGACTCAAAAAAGAAAAAATAAATTTTTTTTTTTTTGAGACGGAGTCTTGCTCTGTCATCCAGGCTGGAGTGCAGTGGCATGATCTCGGTTTACTGCAACCTCCGCCTCCCCGGTTGAAGTGATTCTCCTGCCTCAGCCCCCGGAGTAGCTGAGATTACAGGTATGTGCCACCACGCCCAGTGAATTTTTGTATTTTTAGTAGAGACGGGGTTTCACCATGTTGGTCAGGCTGGTCTCAGACTCCTGACCTCAAGTATCCATCCGCCTCGCCCTCCCAAAGTGCTGGGATTACAGGATTGAGTCACTGCACCCGGACCAATTTTTTCTTTTTTTTCTTTTCTTTTCTTTTCTTTTTTTTTTTTTTTTTTTTTTGAGACAGAGTTTCACTGTTGTTGCCCAGACTGGAGAGCAATGGCAGGATCTCAGCTCACCTCAACCTCCGTCTCCCGGATTCAAGCAATTCTCCTGCCTCAGCCTCCCGAGTTGCTGGGATTACAGGCATGCTACGCTAATTTTGTATTTTTAGTAGAGACGGGGTTTCTCCATGTTGGTCAGGGTGATCACATTCAGCCCAGCATATGTAAATCTTTATGATGGCTACATAAGCCTCTTGCCAGTCTCAGAACTCAGGAACTCAAGGACCTGGGAGCCCTGAGAAAAAGCAGGGGTCAAGGGAGTTAGCTCCCCTGCCTCCCAGTTCCCCCAAGAGGGTAAGAGCCTGGCTTCTAGTCATGCTCCAAGATGCAGACTACTTTCTGTCCTAAAGATATGAAAAGTTTGTGTCTACCCACACCTAACATACAAGCCAATTCACTAACACAGGTAGTCGCCCCACTTACCATTATAAAGTTAGACTGGGGCCAGGCAATGGTGGCTCGCGCCTGTAATCCCAGCAATTTGGGAAGCCAAGGTGGGTGGATCACTTGAAGTAAGGAGTTGGAGACCAGCCTGGCCAACATGGTGAAACCCCATCTCTATTAAAATACAAAAAAAAGTAGCTGGGTAGGGTGGTACGGACCTGTATTCCCAGCTACTCAGGAGGCTGAGGCAGGAGGATCACTTGAATCCAGGAGGTGGAGGTTGCAGTGAACCACTGCACTCCAGTTTGGGCAACAGAGGGAGACTGTCGCAAAAAAAAAAAAAGCTGAACTACATTTGACTAAAGGTATTGTCAAGTCCTCTTACTTGAGGACTAGTCATTGTTTATCTTGAAAACATGGTATTGCAACCTCCCTATAAACTTGGGAAGAAAGGAGAGGGAGAAATGAAAAGAAACCAGGTTTGCAGTGTGCTAGCATTGATCTCAGGACAGCTGCTCCCTGACCTGCTTCCCCATAGGCAGCTGGTGCCTGTTGTCCCACAGTATGTAGCCCCTGTCACAAAATTATTCTTCCCCCTAACTTCTCTCGGATCACAGCTTGGACATTACACAACATTAAGTGTTCCCTTTTAGATATTCCTTCGGGTGTTGATGGAACTACTGACTCAGCTGACCTGAAGGACCCCACGAGGAGCTGACTCCCCCCAAAATGCAGCTTCTACACCCTGATGATTTCATCCCCCTGGGATCGTGCCATTGCTCTCCAGCCTGGGCAACAAGAGCGAAACTCCTTCTCACAAAAAGAAAAAATAATGCGTATTCAATAATAAAACCAGCCCATCACCCTCACCAACCCCTTAAAAGCCCAGAACTGCTTGGAGAGAGATTTGAATGTCTCCTCCCATCACCTCGCTCGGCACCTCTGCGATCATTAAACTCTCTCTGCTGCATCCCTGCTGTCTCAGAGTCATGGAGCTGTGACTGCACAGTGAGCATACAAACCTGCTCTTCCTGTAACAATATGGGATCTGAAATTTTATCTTAACAGATGTGGTGGCTTACGTCTGTAATCCCAGCACTTTGGGAGGCCGAGGTGGGTGGATCACAAAGTCAGGAGTTTGAGACCAGCCTGGCCAACATGGTGAAACCCCATCTCTACTAAAAGTACAAAAATTAGCTGGGTGTGGTAGTGCATGCCTGTCATCTTAGCTACTCAGGAGACTGAGGCAGGAGAATCACTTGAACCCAGGAGGTGGAGGTTTCAGTGAGCTGAGATTGCACCATTGCACTCCAGTCAGGGCAACAGAACAAGACTCTGTCTCAAAAAAGAAAAGAAAGAAAGCGAGAAAGAGAGAGAGAGAAAGACAGCAAGAAAGTGAGAAAGCCAGAAAGTGAGAAAGCAAGAAAGAAAGAGAAAGAAAAAGAAATTTTATCTTGAAAACAGGATAATGGTTTCTACCTGCTTGGCTGTAATGAAGGATGATATACTTCTTTTTGCCTTTGCAATCTTTTAGCAGATTGCCAGCAATGTGTATCACGTTCTAACTTAATGCTTATTCAGGCCAGGTGCAGTGGCTCATGCCTGTAATCCCAGCACTTTGGGAGGCCAAGGCGGGTGGATCTCCTGAGGTCAGGAGTTCGAGACCAGCCTGGTCAGCATGGTGGTATATTTTTCTACTAAAAACACACAAAAAACTAGCTAGGCGTGGTGGTGGGCACCTGTAATCCCAGTTATTGGGGAGCCTGAGGCAAGAGGATCACTTGAACCCAGGAGGTGGAGGTTGCAGTGAGCTGAGATCGTGCTGTTACACCCCAGCCTGGGCAACAAGAGCAAAACTCCTTCTCAAAATAAAAAGAAAAAATAATTCTTGTTCAATAATAAAACCAGCTCAGGCATGGTGGTTTATGCCTGTAATCCCAGCACGAGGAGCCTGAGGTGGGAAGATCTGAGGTCTGGGGTTCGAGGCCAGCCTGGGCAACAGTGCAAGACCCTGTTTTTACAAAAAAAAATAATAATTAGTGGGTGTGGTGATGCACACCTGAAGTCCTAGCTGCTCAGGAGGCTGATTGAGCCCAGGAGTTCAAGGCTGCAGTGAGCTATGATCTCACCACTGCACTCTAGCCTGGGCAATGGAGCGAGACCCTCTCTCTAAAAATAAGTAAATACATATGACATTTAAGGTCAAGTGTGGTGGTTTATGTCTGTAATCCTAGCACTTTGGCTTTGGGAGGCCAAGATGGGAGGCTGAGTGTTAAGATCCACCTGGGCAATATAGTAAAACCCCCGGCTCTACAAAAAAATAACAATAAAATTTAAAACTTTTTTTTTTTTTTTTTTTTTTTTTTGCCTTTCCACGCTACCTGCTGAGGGCTCCATACGGCGTTGTACTGGATTCCCGTCGTAACTTAAAGGGAAACTTTCACAATGTCCGGAGCCCTTGATGTTCTGCAAAGGAAGGAGGAGGATGTCCTTAAGTTCCTGGCAGCAGGAACCCATTTAGGTGGCGCTAACATTGACTTCCAGATGGAGCAGTATATCTAGAAAAGTAAAAGTGATGGCATCTACATCATAAATCTGAGGAGGACCTGGGAGAAGCTTCTCCTGGCAGCTCGTGCCATTGCTGCCATTGAAAACCCTGCTAATGTCAGTGTTATATCCTCCAGGAATACTGGCCAGAGGGCCGTGCTGAAGTTTGCTGCTGCCACTGGAGCCACTCCAATTGCTGGCTGCTTCACTCCTGGAACCTTCACCAACCAGATCCAGGCAGCCTTCAGGAGCCACGGCTGATTGCGGTTACTGACCCAAGGGCCGACCACCAGCCTCTCACGGAGGCGTCTTATGTCAACCTACCTACCATTGCTCTGTGTAACACAGATTCTCCTCTGCGCTATGTGGACATTGTCATCCCATGCAACAACAA